CGCAGGAAGTTTCAGTCACGGACACTGGACTCAGTCTCACTGGTCTGGTCCCACATTTTCCATTTCTATACAAATTCCTGCTTTATCACTGTTTCACCAGGTACCATTATGGTACCTGTGCTGGAAGTGCAATACATCATAATGTGGTTGGTGTAACCTTGCGAGCACCCCACCATCTGTTTGGTATCAATCAACACCCTCATCAACATGACGCTCATCATCATTATCAGACAGCAGGCTTTTGAAACACTGTCTTGAAACACTTTCTGAAGTTTGTTTCCATCTAAACTCATTCTCCCATGGACAAAGACCCTCCCACACACACTGTGAAACACACACACATGCATACCTCAGAAACCACAGCTTTCTCAACTGTGGTGGTACTGGGAAGCGAGTGAGAAACATTTAGGGGTGTGGGGTATGCACTCATATCCCTCACTTCAAATCACTAGGTGACATGTTATACTTCTGTTTAAACATTGCAACTTCATGTTTGAGATTCAGTTTTATCAAAATACTGTGTTCACCATCATAGTTTAGTGTTAGCATGCTAACTAATGAATTAGCACTAAACATGATACAGCTGAGGCTGACAAGAATCTTATTAATTTGGCAGGACAAATTAAACATTTGACATGATAATGGTGTTAGATGTTAACCAAAGTCAGCAGGCTCCAACAAGAGGGGAACATACATGTTTGTGCAAAATTTTATGGAAATCCATCCAATAGTTAGTTTTAGATACGTCCAACCGACCAACAGACTGACATTGGTTATGTGTATGCGTGGTGGCCATTTCAACCAAAGATTAAAAATGTTTTAACTGGACCTCAAGATGTAAAGTTATCCAGCAATTCACAGATTAATATAAAAGCAGATCAGAAAAAATAAAGTTTTGAGTAATGTGCAGAAATGACCCCTTAGATTTATCTTGCGATCTCTTAGGTCCCCACCCCAGGGCTGGGAACCGCTGCTTTAAGATTTAAAGTTTTCCTGAAACCAAGAAAAAAAGACACAAATAGGAAGAAATCAACTACTGAAACCCTAACTTCTTGCAGAAAGCAGTGTTTACTTTGTATTTTCAGGGAGATTTATCTGGGATTTACAACTGAAAGAATTACAAAATATCATAAATAACATTATATTATATAGGATATTCAAAGAGCTGGATAAGAATTAATAAAATATGGAGTAAAACTGATGCCTGAAAGTAGTGTTTGTCCATGTTGGTACCTACATTCATTTCTAAATGCCAAATAATACCGCAATCATTTTTTTATTAAATCAGGACAGATATTAGGTTTCGATTTATGTTGGCGTGCTGGTCTTCAGGCTCCTAAGCCTTGACGTCCAGTGCTGAGGTTATCTACACACGCCATCTCCTTCCCTACGCCTTTGATCCCTGCAGAAATCTGTCAAACACATTTATGGCCAGAGATAATGTGTTGCAGGCCAGATGCAAACTTGTTGAGAGGTGAGTCGGAGTATGAAGGTAATCGTAGATGTAGAAACCAGTTCTAATAAAGAACTTATCCTGTTTTGGACCGAACCAGGGCCTGGACTTGAGTTGCTAAAATTCATATTATAAATTGAGAATTAGTCACAAAATGTAGTTATTATGCTGCAGGTACAAGATGTTGAGAGGTTAAACATTGGCAACACTAGACAGGTATGCTGTGTTATAGTATTTCATTATTTTTTCAAACGCACCTGCAGTTTGTGTACAAAATTTAGCCTCCTTGAGACCATGGTTCATTGTCATGTTGCTTTGAAGTCCATTTTCAGACCCCTTTAATATGCCAACTGACGTTCAAACTAATTTGACCCACCTTTGTAGCAGTGCTTGTAATTTGTATAGACTTAACTTCAAAGTCCATCTCCTCTAAGTGTTTACATGCAAGCAGGTCTAGTCAGCTGTAATGCCCAGACAGAGGCACAATCCTTGAGATACTGATGGAATTCTAGTTTCAGTTCAGGACAAGACACTTATTGTCTCCCTGATCTGAATGCAGACATGTAGACAGAGGCGGTTTCAAATACCATGCTAACACAATGAATCCCTAACCACACGTGTACACCTTCAGGCTTGAACATTCAGAACAAAATGCGTTACAGAAGTCCTTTCCCACACATCTATTATGCAAAAGGCGCCAAACTAACTGATCACCCCAACTGTTTCTGCACATATTAAACACAGGTGCGCTTACTGAGACAATAGCCTGTGTTATGCCAGAATCTGCTTTACGAGAGCTCAACAAATGCCTTATTGACACAGAAAACCCATAACTCAAGTGTGTGATAGCACACTGACATGCAAGGGGACATATACAGAACATTACAGAAGTAAACGCATTCATCTAGAATTCAAAGATGGCTTCAGTACATTTTGTTTTTGCTCATTCCTAGAATGCTTTGTGTAATCCTACGCGTAAATCTGCACGTATTCGTGTGTATTATACCTTATCTCTGCTCATGCGAACACACGTTTGCAGTTGACAGATAAATGACATTGCAACATGTGTTCTTTGGTAACTTCTTGTGCTGTCCCACTGAAATATCACCCCCTACGGCTACAATGTGATAAGGATGGAGGGTGTAAGTTGTGTGGTTGTGTGTGTGTGTGTGTGTGTGTGTGTGCCAAAGAGGCCTCGACACATGGGAGTACTGAATCTCCAGCTGCTCCTAATTCTCTCTCATGGGTTTCTTCTGGCAAATGGTGTTAACCGCATGCTAATGTGTGCAACCTCTGAGGTGTGTGTGTGTGTGTGTGTGTGTGTGTGTGTGTGTGTGTGTGTGTGTGTGTGTGTGTGTGTGTGTGTGTGTTTCTATCTTGTCAGTATCAGTGTGTCCTTTTTCCTGCATCGTGGTTTCGTGTGACATCTGCAGGAAATGAGAGCCATCCTCCTATAGCTGATGAAGACAAAGGGACTGACAGACTCTATAGGCTTGATGAAGCCAAAATGTTGGACAACATCCAAACTCTTTTAAAACTTTGTTCCCCTTTTCCTAAATGGGTGACAATGATAGATCGCTCTGAACCAACATAGTGTCTAAGTTATCTGGAGCTATGGGGAAACAAAGAAAAAGGAAAAAGTCAAGCTTCAAAGGCAAATAGTTAGGTCATATGGCAACAATATAGCACAAACAATAATGCAAAGTCTATGTGCATGGCATAGCATTTGATGTATGCAGAATTTGCCTAAACAAGGCCCTTAAACCACACAAAACTGCACTAGCGCTGTATCATGAATAAATGTGGTTCGAACATGGGAACCCTACAAGACTTTCCCATGTGGAATTGTGGGAGACCCCACGTGAACAAGTGCTTTCACAATGTTCTCTTACTGAAGCCCCCACTCGCCCCATGATGATGATAAGCAATCTCAACCTGAGATCTCACTCCAGCTTACATTACCGGGCAGGACTCTGACAGTGCTTTTTGTGTATTGAGTAAATACAAAGAGACAGGTTTAAAAAAAAAAAAAAAAAAAAAAAAGATTTACATGAAATTGTGGCTGTAAACAGAGGCTGAGAATAGTAAGGATCATTTTGGAGAGCAAACTGGATTTGACGTGAGTGTAATCAGAAGGCACTGTTTATGGAAAATAGACAAGTAAATTGTTTTTAGCATTTTAGCACTGCCTTGCTGCAGCTTGTCTGCTACAGTAAGTAACAGAGTGGGTTCGGCTCTCACAGGTCATAACACAAGAAGACTCATACAGATTATATCAAACATGGTCTCTGTGAGGCCTAAATGTGCCAAAATGTAATCTTTACAAACATGACACTACAAGATAATCAGGTATCCTCTGATGTTAGGGAATGCCACTTTGCCATTAATTGGATTTCAACCATGTACCACTGCAAATGGCAAGCCTTTGTCTCCCTCTAGTGGTTTCCTACTCCAGCTGAAATAACCCACAAATATATGGGTTTATATAGAAATGTCAGATACATTTATACACAGATTTTAAAGCCCTCTGGCACAAACTGGTTCTCTGGCCTTGATAAATAAACTGACTTCGCCCCCATGATCATAATCTCAACTAGAGCACTGCCAAACAGCAATCATGGCATCATAGCTGCCTGTCTAAAACGACTCTTAAATATTTGTATTTCATTACCACAATGCAATTTTCTTAATGCAACACCATTTAAACATTTATTTATGAGTTTCATATCAATGTTTTGAATAGCACAGTCAGTAGTAGAGCACATGCCAATGTTATATCATTATCTCATCAACAACATTAGCACCCTTCATTTCTAAGTCAGTTGGGTGGGGGGGGGGAACAAACACATATCCTAGGAGGTCCCTTTACAGAGTGCTGAGTCTTGGCGATGGTGTGTATGGTTAAGGATTTAAATGAAAAAATGTCAAAGGGATATTTCCCTTTTTGATCTTAGAAACAGAAACAACTGTATCCAGACGTTGATGTATTGCTCTTACATATCAATCAACAACAGCCGAGCCAGACTTACCACATCTATAGTATAGTGGCAACAAGGCCACTCATTGTTCCATATGTAATAGCTATGGGAAAAGGGATGACAAGTGATAGATTAGACAGTGAAAACAACAAAGTCCTCGATTTCTTTGGCTCTTAGAGTCAACTTCTTCACTGTAGAGAATGAAACCTCATAGTCTAGGAAAGTATGAAAACAAATCTAACATCACATATTGAGATAAACAGCAGATTTTGTTGGATTGTGAAATTCTGAATTTCATACTATGGTATCAGAATCAAGTGCAGCATATAGTTACACACAGTATCGTATGTGACGATTGCCAACCACTAGGTGGAGTCATATATTCAGGGATCTGGCAACCACCTCGGAAAATCACTCTTCTTCCTTTACTTATTAGACGGTCTAGGAACATCTTAAAGATTGTAGCCATACACTTGAGTTTTACCATTGAGGTTCAGTTCATTTAAATAACTATCACACAGTGCAACATTCAGTGCTGCTATACAGAAATATAGACACAACTACAAATATAAATATAGTAAACTAGATTTAATTTGCTGCCGTTTGTCACAGTGCATTGTCAGCTCCCTTTTAAAGATTTCAGGCACATAATTGAAAATCATTTAGTCAGCAGAATTGTGAAAGAGGCACATTGTGTTCACAAAAGATACAACAATAAATTACCTTTCTTCATTAACAGTGACAACACCATGTGTACACCATGCCCTTGCTCAGCTTATTCAAGTACTGGAATAGCCAAAAAACACTAACATATAAATCTCTGCACAGTGAACAAGACAGATCAATTTGGATAATCATTAGTTGAACAGAGCAGGATCATTCTGAGTATGTATGCCCCTTTCTTTTGTCCTGCTCAAACTAAAGCATGCATCTAAGCCAAGGCAAACAGACAAATGCATACTGGCATTGTGTTCCAGTAGATCACAGTCAAAGATCAGAAATGTAAAAGCTTGAATTGAAGTATATTGTAATGTAAATGCAATACTGTAGAAGAGGAACCAAAAATCAGCCCGGTTGGTCAATGGCACAATTTGTTTCTGACTGCAAGTGTCTTGGCTTAGATCACAAGGTAAAAGTTCAAGATTCAGAGGTCGAAGTTTAGGTGTCAGAAGGTCACTGTTCCATCTGCCTGTTGAAGGTGGGGTGTTGGGGACCGGGCGTGCTCAGTAAGGTTCCATCCTGATCCTTCTGTACAAGCAGCTGGTGAACACCATCCCGCAGATCTGAAAACAGGACGTGTTAGGTCAAAAAGCACTGCTCAGTCACCATGGAAGACTGCAGGAAGCCGGAATGCTATTGACTCTGAGGACAAAGATGAGTTACAAGGTGATGGGTAGGGGGTTAATGTATGTAGCTGGTTACTATGGGGATGTCAGGGGTCAAGTGGCCCTTATTGCAGCGACGTGTGTGCACAGGCTTGCATAAGCAGATGCAAAATGAAGCACTGGGGTCAAAAAGAGGATTTATAAGTAGCCTGTTTTCTTCACAGCAAACAAAATAAAAATAAACTTAACTCCAAATAACCTGGTAACACAAAACATAACTAGTGCACATGAATATCAGAAATCAGAAATCCAATAATTTGTCTTATACTTAATTTCCGCTTTTTCAGACTTAATGCTAATGTTCAGAAGTTCTTATCAGACTATCGTGTTGTATATTATTAATTTCACAAATACAAACCACATCAATTAGACTCCACTTGCAATGTCCCTGACAAACATGGTTTCAACCCAGAACTGTTGGACTCATTTCCCGCCATGCAACTGAATGCTACAGCTAGTGTTTGTGTTATAAGGGGAAAAAACTAAAGAATCAGGTTCAACACCGAAATCGTATTCCAATAACACTAAACTGATAATGTTGTTTAAAATTAATCTGGAGGGTTCTACATTTATAAATCCACAATATCTGATACTGCAACCTCTTACCTCGCACCAGGATAAGCTCATAGACGTGTGCAGAATCTATAACACGTGACTTACAAAAGCACTATGCTATACAGCACTATAGAAAAGGCCCAAAAATAAAGAGAGAACCACAAGAACAGATATTGACCTAAGCCAATGGGCCTGCCAGGCTTGATGGATAAACAGACAAGGGTCCAGATTCAATCTTTGAGTCTCTAAAAGCCCTCAGAGAAAGCCTTATCGAGCGAGTCAGCATTGCGTATTGACTCATCGCAATCTCTCTTCAGGCAAGTTTCCAATTTTTTGTCCCTTCTCCACCACCACCAGTGATGGATACGTAACATTCTGGTTAAAAAACAATGGTGTGAGAGGAAAAGAGAGAAAAACAGCCACTCTGCGCTCCTGTTTCCTTGAAGCCTAATTTGAGAAGGGTGTATCGATACCAAAAAGCAATGATGTAACAGTGTAGTAAAAAATCAAGAAAGAAAATAATAATACCAGTTGGCAGTTCCTGTCAATCAGTAGTCCTTGAATCACTTTTCAACAAGCTCAATTATTATGATCATGTTTGTTTTAGATTGCAAGTAACTATAGCAACAACACTAAGGCTCTCCCCAATAATTATGTACTAGGAGTAAACTGAATAAAAAAAAAGAAAAAGAAAGAAAAAGATAACAAGTGTACAGTGCATTACCTCTTTTGCCAATTTCAGTAATCCATCAAAGTAAATATCTGAATAAAATAGAATTATCTACAAAATGCTTACCAAATCTGTCCCCAGTGGTTACCATCTTACTCCAAAAATAAAGTGAAGCCTGATAATAAGGCTTGAATTTAAAATATACTGCCCTCAGGGATATACAGCAAAACCTTGGTCTATAATGTAAATTTTACTGGAGGTGTTTTTCCTTGTCAGCACAGGTATAGAATAAGGCACTAATACACAAAGCTACAGAGCGTTACTCTTGCTAACAACATCATTGTGCAGAAGCAGTTAAGTTTTGATTAATCAAGCCATTCTCATGATGTGTTTGACCTTTATCACATCCATATCAGCCACAACAGCCTGTTATCACAACAAGCAGAGCCGCCATCTGCAATATACAGCCAAAGCCAGGCAGCTGCATGCTTAACAACATAAATATGTTCATTTAGTACACATGTAGCCCACAGATTTCACATTTAACACAGAGCGGACAGTCACACAAGGACAAACATGCAGTCAGATATCAAATTTCCACAATGCCCTCCAACCTTGTCTCTCCAGTTGATTAAACCACAAAGCTGCTCTAGAGCTAAATCACAATGCACCGAAGTCCTCTTCTTCTTTATAGAGCAGATAGATAAAGCAGGCTGTCAAGACTGCCCCGGCCAGCTACAACACACACACACACACACATTGATACACACAGTACAATTCACCATAGACAGGTTAGTGTGGTACAATAGACACATGTGGTTTGTGCCATAAATTAAAGTTGAAAACTAGAGCTAGTCCGAGTTAAAATGCATTTCAACAAATCTAATGATTTCAGTAAGTCAGACAGTGACTACAGACAGGAAAATATAGCAACATTAAGACAGACTGGAACAGTTGACAAAGACAAGACATACAATTAGCCTAGAGTAAAAAAGAAATTAAATATATGCTTGGATTTAAATGTGTTAAATGATGCTAAACAGGCTCACGTAGCACATTGGTTTTTAAATCCTTTTCTCCAGGTATATATCTATATATATAGATATATATATATTCAGCAGCACCTCATCTATATGTTAAGCATAATCCCTTCAGATCATTTGGGGATTAAAAAACCTGTCACTTGCCTCAGGCATCAAGGAGATCACAGACTGGAGGTTTCTCATCTTTTGCTGTTGCAAGCCTTGATTATTACAGTAAAGAACTTATGTCAGCAGCAGCAGGTTGTCTGGCCTTATTCTCAGATCCCTGCCTGATGAAAACTGTTGAGCCTGAACAGCATGTATACTGCTGGGCATTAAAGGACATATCAGGCTTGCGAATACCACTGGGAAGAATCAATGCAGGTTTGTTTGGTCTCAAGTTTCCCTCAAGTTAATTTACAAAGAGGTGGTGCAGAGCTATAAGAGGACTGTCAGCCAGCACAGAATTGTAAAAAGGCAACCCTGTATGTCTGCTTGGGCTCTGTAAGGCTTAAAAGCTCCAGTCCATCTCAGACTGGGAGAAATCAAATAACAGAAAATAACTAAATCAGATAATGATGACTGAGAGACTAGAGTGAGATGAAAAGAAGTGTCCACTTAGAGGTTGTTTACATGTGATGGTACATTTTCAGTAAAGGGAAGAGTAAAACCCATCTGTCTGGGTTTCCTAAGGTTGTATTAACAAAAGAGCACCATTCAATTCAGAAAGGTAAAAGCCTCATCTCACTTTAACCAATTAATAACTGGGCTTATTTGAAGTAGTTTACTCAGGATGAAGACGAAGCAGAATAGCATTCTGTTTCTTCAACAACTATTTGTACTACGTATTTTACTTACCTGCAGACAAGCCACTCCTATTCCCACAGCACCAATGACTAACAGGTGGTCTGCCAGAAACTGCTCCAGCTTCGTAATGCAACCACCCTGCAGAATCAAAGGCTGAACGTTAAAAAAAAGACATGAAAGAATATGCATACCATTGTAAAGATTTTATATATAATTGCTGCAGAAAACAAGAAAACATCCTTAAATCACTTAATAAATATAGTAGATAATACGGATAAATAATAATGTCAAAAACATCTTCCTTCCATCCCAAACACTAAATAGATATATTCATTATCCATGGCATGTGACATGGTGTTGCTATGTTTTTGTTGTTTGTGTTTGTTGGTGTATCTTTATGTTTCCTCCTTTGCACATGATGCAGACAGTGTACTGTGAGCGATACGAGGGGAAACTGAGCGGTTTGACAAGGAGGCTGAAAAACGTCACCTAAGCAGCACGGATAAGCATTTCAAAACCTCATATTTTATTCATTTCCAGAGAGCTAATTTTATCAAAGAAAAGTTTCAAACTACAGTTTTTTCTGTTTCTGTTACTAGTTTAGCTCTAGAAGGGAAATATCAGGACATGGGAAAACCTCAAAACTACTCTAGTGATATTGTCTTATGGTAGGCAAGCAATGTCAAGTGAATATTTTTGTCATTCAATGGTAAATTCCATAAATGCTAAGTGACATCTGAGTTAGACTGGGCACGGTATTTGTCATTTAGCTTTTCTATTTCTAAATGTTTAGTCCACCGACCTCAACCTTGTAAATGTTGGAGGGATGATCTCTTATCCCACAGTGAGGAGTGATGGTTTTACAGCAGCTGTCAGGCACCACCCTGCCTTCTGCCGGCTTTGATGAAATGTACACACTCAACATCCAGTCATGGGAGTTGTTGCTGCCACAGCACTTGAACTGGAGGGGGAAAAAAGAGAAGAGTTTGGTTTCGTTACGTCACGCACTGTTAGAAAAGTACAAATCCCTCTTTTTTTTGGAATAATTAAGTCATTTTTTTTGTTTAGTTTAACACAGATTAATTTAATTGGCTCAAACTACTTCCTCAAATCAGTATTCTGCTGCAACTTTGCAGCTAGTTCTTGTAGCTGAAGGGAGTGTCTATCTCCTTCCTCTCAGGGACTTGGACAAAATTACTTTAGCTCTGGCTATTACACCAGTCATTTTTGGAACAATACTTCAAGCAAACCCCAATGGATAACATACAGCTATGAGCAATTTCTTCTACTGAATTTCAGCATCATTTGAAAACTACTTCACACACAGTAGCTGAAGACTCTGTTATGGAAAATGACCTTATAACAAGCACAACTATACTTGACCAGACTAGCTGAAGAAAAGTGCAGCATACTGATCTTACATGAGCCAAACAAAACCTCAGAGGCTTTTCTAAATCTAGTCCATACATCCTGCTGTAGTCTGTCCACAGCTAATGTGATGGCCTCCTTCCCTGGCTGGGCATAGTTCTCCGTCATAGTCTGGTTGAGATGCTGTTTCAGCTCCTCACTCAGCTAGAAGTTAAAACAGAAGGAGAGAGACAGCAGTGAGAAACAATGTATGTGAGACAGAGAAGGTAGTGTGGTATTTATGGGAAAGAACAAAAATACATACAGGAAGAAGAAAAATGTACAGGAGAAAAGACTATATGGAGAGAGAATTGTGAAGTGATACAAAAAATATATAGCTTCTATAATTTAAATATAGCTTTTGATATGTGTATATGTTTGTGTGCACACACGCAAACACACACAGGAGAGACGACGTGAAGCAGAGGGAGAAGATGAGAGGCCTTATCTTTAAAGTGATTCTATCCTGTGCTGAACCCTTTCCATTATAATAAATCTCTAAGCTTGCCAGCAGATAGCGTGCTGCTCTTGGCAGTCCTAGCTGACTGACAGGCAGATGTTTGTGAGATAACAGGATCCTAAGAACTGTGTGTTAGATAAACTCCAGACGCTGAACATAATGCGCAGTGCAGGTGGCAAACGGTGACGACCCACATACACATAAAAAGGAAGAACGGCAAAAGAAAAAGCAAAGCTAAAACGTCTACTTTAGTTTCTACATCCACGATCTATGAGACAGAACAAAGACCAAATGGAAAACCTTTTCATGGAGGGACAAATTATGAAGAGGGGGTATCTATATAGATTCATTAGGAGGCACATGGCATTGCTTAGATCTTCAAAACTGACAATAATTCCCTGTTTTTACCTCTGTTTTTCTTACACCAGGTAAATTATATAGAGATACTATAAATTCTGTTTTGTCCCTCCAGGAGCTTGAACTAACCAGCTAGTTTCATGAAGATCAGGCCAGTAGTTTTTCTGTAATCCTGCTTACCGCCAAACAAACAAACAGCATGGAAAACATAACCTCCTTGGCAGAGGTAATAATTACAACATTCTATTGGCAGAACAGCCTCACTTTCCTCCAGTGCACTGTGAGCATACCAGAAGGCTGACAGGCAGTAAGTCAACCAGAAAATGTGAGTGAGCAAACCTTAAAAGGTCTTCATTTAAATGCAGTGATGATTGTTCACTACTCCAAACTATAACAAAATAATGATGCAGTAGTTTCAACTTACCCTCTGGTAATAGACATAAGCCAGTACTCCAGCCACCAGTTCAATCAAGAAGATCAACAGCAGGCAGAAAAAATACTGTGAATGAGAAAGAAGAAAGAGAGCCAGTGAGAGAAGTATTCTGAGGCAACTCGTTTGAGATTTGCTCACACTCGTGACGGCTCAATAAAAACTTCCATCAACTGTCATTGTGCTGCATCTGTCACTTCTAACGCAGATGGCAATGCTGCACAAAGAGGGACAACCAAACATCTATTTGACAGGCTGCAGGAATCAGATTTCTCTTGGGCATCCTTTAAAGAACCCTCCACGCTGCTAGAAACCAGCTCCATTATGTATCATAAGTAACTTGCAAACACTAAATTGAGGTGATTTACACATTGACCATCACAGCAGCAAAATCATTCACTTGTACTGTAGGAAAACGAGGAATATAATGAATCAGACATGACATTTGTATAATTAACTTAAACTGAAAATCAATATCACAGCAGCTAAACAAATGTCAGATCTCTTATTGCAATCCTTAATGATAAGTACTGTTACTAGTACCGAAATGCCCAGCCTAGTTATGTAAACTGTGTAGTGAGCGTTAGCCTGTTCATTAAATGGTTCATATACCCCACACTGACATGGGCCATGCCATGTAGTGCAAACAACACACAAATACAACTAATTAGGCCCGCCAGTCGCAGAGTGGGACAAGACAGTTTGACTGCAGCAACAGCGCTGCTTCGCTCAAGATCATTATGGAGAGACAGATGCTACTACCCATCCTGCGCAACGCGGGAAACGAAGTGATGGCAAACTACTGGTCAAACAAACAGCTGTAGGCGAGCAACGATCGCTCTGAATTATTATATGACATTAAGCAAATGTTCTCTTCTGTTTTGCAGTTATCACAGTAATTATGTCATGCAGAAATGCCAGCCTGCTCTGTATCTCTTGGTAACAGGATAAAAAAAAAGAATAAAAAAAAAAGACAGTCCAGTCTCTGTGCCTGCTGCCCACACAAAATGCTAACTTCACTCCTTTACACACACACACACACACACACACAAACACACACACAAACTTACTTGCAAGCATCACTCATTATTTCATTCCCAAAACTAATCTATAAATAGCACATCAGTACAGTTCATATTCAACCAAAATGCACCACGCACTCCAAATCCACGACGCATCTGCCTCTTCACTCCTGCGAGCCCGTTTCTCTTTCTTATTGCTCCATCCATCAACAGTAGATAGATAGACCTATAAATAGTCCTGCAGCAGTGAACGTTCACCTTCCGCCTGCTTCTCTCCCACTGGGCCCTATCTCTGTAAAATAATGAGGACGGCAAGGGTCCTGTCAGAGCCATTTGTAAGCATCCAGTGACAGACCTTAGACCAGGGAGAGAATGGATGAGTTCCATGTTATACTGTTGCATAGCTGTTATGTAGTAGAAAGCAAATCTTTGCATGCACGTGGGCGAGCATCTACTGTAGCTTCCCAGTGCAGACATAACAATCTAGGACCAACTACTAACAAGTAGCACTGTCGCCCACATGGTCATTCAAATGTCCTAACTTCCGTGACAGTATGACTGTGCAGTATTTCAAATGCAACCGGAGGAATCGCCCAACCGTTCTTCACCCGAATGTTTGACAATGTTTTCTTTCTATGTCCTGCACTCCATGCCTGCCTTGAATTTAAAGCTACGACTTTGGAGACCCCTTCAGTCCATGAGTGGTAGTTTGTTTTGCATTATCCTGTATCCCAGTTCGATACAACTGCACATGCAAAATCTATTCATTTTGAGTATGCAGTGTGTGACAACATTCAGAATACTAAAAGCTTTCAGGATGCATAATAAATGCCCCCCATCCAATTTGGAAAATGGAGGAGCTGTTTACAGAAGGAAAAGGTGAAAACAAATATAAAATCTTTTTCCAGATTACGGTGCTCCGAAGCAGTTTGATCGATCTCCATTGGCACACATCTTGTATCATTTCTTGTTAGTACAAAACCAGTAAAGCACAGGCTTACTTCATCACATGCATACTATACTATCTACTCCACATCTGATCAACTACAAACACAAAAGGTAGAGGCCTGAGCAGAAATCCCCTCTATGGGTCCCCTGTCTCACCATGGACAGACAGTTTTTCTGCTCCCGGATGACAGCGCAGCAGCCCAAGAAGCCCGTAACCACAACCAGGCTGCCAGCCAGGATGAGGATATACGCAGAGACAGCAAAAGTGCTGGATGCCAGCAGGCTCAAGTAGTCACTCTTCTCCACCAGTGTCCAGACTCCTACGGCCAAAACAGCTGCTCCACCCACCTGGAAGAGAAGGGGAGAGACGAGGTGGTGGGGTAAAAAAAAAAAAAAAGATATTAGGGTTAAAGGTTAAGAAAGAGATGCAATAAAACTAATATGGGTGTAGCAAACAATTTCACAGAGGAAAAAAAAATGTGAAGACAATAAAAGCATGGTATGTATGAGTCATAGAATTGAGAAAGCTGCAGATTACTTAAACAAAGAAAGGAAATATTTTGAAAACACTGAGTGTGTCATGTCAATTCAATCTTACAGAGACCACAGACAACTAAAAGATTTAAAAAAAACAAAAAACAAAAAACAGCACTTTACAGGGCAGGAAGTGACAAATAGGAAGTGAGTTCAATGCTATTAAATTAGTCACAAAAATATAACAACGTGAGAGGACAGTGGGAGGTGGTGAAAAGGAACGTAAGAGAGGGCAGAATGAAAAGAGAGGAAACAGAAAGAGAAACACCAGGCGTAAACATGTACCAGCCACGGGAGCAGTGAGACTTCAGAGGTCAAGCCAGGGCATAATGACCACTTCCTTACAAACAATCCTGGATAACAGATCCAGGGTGGCGTCTGGATCTGTTCCTCTCATCAGTTTCAAAAGGCGCATGGATAGGAAATGCCTCTCCCCTTCATCCTCCCATTCCATTTCCCTCAAAAGCGAGATCCACAAACTCACAACAACACGTCGAACCGGGGAGGCACCGCTTGAGTACAGATCCCAGAGGAAGATGACACTCCCTAAACTATTGCATATTTAGGACTTTATTGTAATGCATTCACATATGTTTTAATATATTATATGCATATATTTTAAACTGGTGTGCCAACCGTGGGTGGCAGCTACTTAAACTGACATGGCTTGGGATAGGCTCTGGGTTCAATCACTGACAATATATGGGTTCAATATCATTTTATCAAATCTGCTGCAGCCGTATCAAAGCGCATAGATTTGATATTAAGCAAGATTACCAGTTAAATGTTTTCCGGTGAAAAGCCAGCAATGTCCTTGCAAAAGAAGTACTGCCCCCAAGACTGCAGCCTGTTATAATGGTGAAGTGGTGGACAGAAAAAGAAGAAAAATGTGCCTGTAGTCCAAGGAGGAGAGGGAGTCGATACGTTTCCCTTAAGAGATTAGTTTTAAGGTGGTGATAGAGCATTAACCCAAGCCTGAGGACAGAGCTTGAGCTTTTCTCTCTTTAAACTCTCCCACACACAATATTCTTCGCCTCAGACTTTGAAAAAATGTTTCAAAGTGACCCCAGACACTCTACACAGTAGCTGTAAGAGTGTACACTTTTAGCAGCAAATTGCTGTATCATAGAGTGTGGTGCCAGAGAGCAGGTCTGACATACTGTTCCCCATCATACACTGACAAGCCCTAAATAATCTATGACTCACTTTGGGCTGAGTCTATAGCTAAAGTCTCTCAGCCTGCGGTTTTAAAAGGGAACACTGAAGCGTTCCTCCTAAAGATTCTCCATTTACATATACATATAACATATCTAGTGAAAATTGGCTCCAATTACTCTTTTCTTGAAACATGACTTATTGATACCTACAGTCACTGTGAGACCTGTCAATGTTACTGCAATGCATTTGCTGTGAAAAAAAAGTTGAATTTAAAGTTTAATGCTGTTCACGCACCACGTTGCAAGTAAATGCAAGTAAATAAATGACAAAGTGTAACTACTACAAGGGTTTTTCCAATGAGGTTTTGAGTGTAGGTAGCTTATAAAAAGGACTATATTTACAGCTCTCACTTACCCAGAAGAGAAAGTTGAAAACAAAGAGCAGGTACTTGAGACACACCGTCATCCAGTCCTCCTGTTCATCTTTATAAACCGCCGACATCTTCCTTCCTCCCGTTAGATTCTGAAAGTGCAGATTTGTTCTTAATGCAAAAAGATTATGGGAAATATAAAATTTGATAGCAGAAATGTTGAGACCAACACTTAAAAGGCTTTAACAATAACAAAACTTGCATTTAACTATAAAGCAAAATCACAGCTGCTGCAAACCAAATGTGACACTGTATCTGAGGGGAAGGGAATAAAAGGAGCAGCTAACACACAAATGCTGACAGGTAACTGAAGCAGTGCCAAATCAGTCAGGCAAACTCATGGCAAGGCTAAGCTTATTGTCATTTGACAGCTTTGCTTAAAATATGCGCCACAGCAAGTGAGAGTAATCACAGTGATTATGTTTGCCAAAGGGAACTGCCTATCGAATGTCACAACAAAAGCTACACCCACTCCCCATTTCAGCATCTACAGTTTGCATGCTTTAAATTGTTTTGTCTTAAATTGTTACAATGGTCTCCAGTAGGGCACACCTTACAAGTTGTTAAGTGATGCAGCATCCAAGTTCAAAATATCACCTCCTCCTGTTATATTCACAAAGCACAATTATTGATAGCACTGAACGGACCATAAACCTCTGAATCATTAATTGAGTTGAGCACAGTTTCAGTTCTGTAAATAAAAGGCTACGCGTGGAAAGCACTTAGACCCATAAAATTGATCTACACATTATCCTTCAGTGGATAGCACCAAAGGAAACAGTGCAGGGTTTGTGTTTGTTGACCAGGGAGTCGTACACAATGACGACTCCCTGGTCAACAAACAGTCTGAAACACATTGTATTTGTCTGCGAGGAAAAGTGTTGGATTACTCCGAATAATTAACTAGGCCTAAACCTCAGTATGGTACATAAAGTGAGTGCCTTTGTTTAAAAAAGGGTTGGTTCATCCAAATTACAAAAGAAAAATCTCACATGGCACCTGGCCACGCAGAACATTTCAGTTTTGAGATACTGTTTCAGCCTTCACCCAGGTACAATGGAAGTGACTAGAGCTTCATTTGTTGCGTTCACAAACAATCAGTTAGGTCATGTCTTTCCACAAAGCTTTCCCCACCCATGGATAACTTCAAGAAAAATGAGTCAATTATATTGTCCTGAAGATGATATCTACTTTAATTTAGACTTACTACTATTGTGTTTAAAAGTGGCAAGACATCTTCAAACATCACAGAAAATCTGGAGAGAGCAGCGGTTATTAAGAAGAGAACACAAGTGAGCGTTTCATCTTTGTTGTGAGCCGGATAATGAAGACCGATCTGTTTTTATAACCTTATGAGTCAGATCAGAGCAGCAGGCTACAGGTTGTTGGAAAATATAAATATAAAAAGATATAAAATACTAATTATAGGCACTGCATCTCTCATTTACCACGAATACCAGGCATGCGCAAGCTGCGTTGCTATGGATATGTGAACTATATGCGTACTGTGGGTGTTAGTCTTTGAAAGCATGGCAAACAGAGCAAACTTTATCAAACACAGACTGAACATGTTGAATCTGACCAAACAAGAACAGCCATGGCACACTAAACATCTATGTTTATTGAATATTTGATGGGTGTGCCATAAGAGTATTGGGGCACTGTTTCCAGGACCAGAGTGCAGGATTTAGGGGTATCTAGCGGTGTAGTTGCAGATTGCAACTCCCTTGCTTCACTCTCACCTTCAAAGCGCAACAGAGACAGAGAAACATGTGAAAAAAGTGGATGCCCATATCTAGAACCAGTGTTTGGTTTGTCCCCTGTGGGCTACTGCAGAAACATGGTGGTTCAACATGGCAGACTGCATGGAAGGCGACCTGCAACGTCTGTGTAGATACAAAAGGCTCATTCCAAGGTAACGAAAACATAATGATTCCAATGTTGAGGTGATCATGCTCGATTGAAAACATAGCTATGAATATTATATTCCATTTCTACCAAAAGATCCTTTCTAAATGTTACACACAGGACTTTTGGATGTCATTTTTCAATACGGTGAGCACCCCAAAGAAACTGCATTCACTACTATTGTAATGGAGTGAAAGCAGAAACCTCTGAGATGGATATCTCCAGACCATGGCACATAAAAACCAAGCTCCATAGAAATAGAGGTAAGTGAGAGGAACTGTTGTAATTTGTTGTAATTTGGGTAAACCAGCCCTTTAAACCTAATATAATAACAAATATATACTTCTTAGATCAGAACAGTCAAACTTTTATAGCAACACTGAGGTGGACATTATGAAAGAACTGAGAAAATATAAAATAAAATATGTTATATAGGATTTCACAGTAACTCATAATTGAAGTGATTAACATTAAGACAGCTGCAGTGCAGTTCCCGGATTGTCCTAACCGAATACTTTAAATATTAATGCGCGAAACAAAAGTCCCCACAAAAACGTTATTTATCTGTTGCTTAAGCAAACATGAAGTTTTATTATTCTCACTCCGGCCTAGCAATGTTATGCTGTTTTTAAATGAACTGTTTAAATATAGTCGTTTTAAAACAGACACCTCCTGTCAATGTGGTTATTGATTTTACAGCATGCAGCGGTTGACTCTCCCAAGGCTTCCCACTTTCCTTCAATAACGCTAACCGTTGCCCGTCCGGGACAGGGACTATATGCCCTGCCTCGGATATCGGACTTTGACCACCGCATGTGTGTCCCTCAGCGTCACAAGCAGCTCATAAATGAAGACAATATGCCTCGTTTTACGGTTTAAGACAAACTTTCTCGCCTCCCTTTTTCTCCCAGGATGGGGTGTAACGCGGGAGCATCCTGGGGTAAAAAAACCCCCAAAAAAACACCTGCGTCGTTGATGCGCAGGACAAACTTTAACCGAATTATCTTGCTGTTTACATCGACAAACTTACGTTTCCGTGGCATAGTCGAGGACATACTTACCAGACCGACGTTTAGTGAGGACAAATACACCTCGTATCGATGCTATTCCCGTCAAACGAGAGTGTACGGCACTGCAGTAGTGAGCGTTTTGTCCAGTCAAGCTTGTTGCTTTCAGGGTGTCCTGTCCCGACAGCAGGTTTGTGTGGATGCTGCGTTTGGGTGCAGCTCGTTTTTTTCCGGAGTTGATGAGCGTTATAGGACTGCAGAGAAATAAATACAAGAAGGACCAAGACAAAGAAATCGAGCAGCATTTTTGATATATTTTTTTGCTTCTAATGTGACATTTTTTATTAGATGTATTGGTCAGGGACCAGAGATCTATCACATTCCAAAAAAAAAATTATATTAACTGCAAGGTACAATGAGTTACACACACTTACTTCATGTAAACAGATACAAAGCAAAATACAAAAATATAGAAGCTGAGAAAAATATAACGTCAAATAGGACAACTTATTAGTTTCATATTAATGTATAAACTATTGTATGACTTATTAATGTATTAAATACAGGGGGGAATATATGATATTACACGGCCATGTAAAATTATGATTTTTAAAATGATTTATTCACTTTTATTTAAAATTATATTTCTGACCGTCAATGAAGGCAGCACAGTGCGAACTTGTGGAAAGGGGTCACAATGTGGAGTGACAGAGAAGGAAATGGAGCTGCTATCCTTAACCACAAGATAGGCTGAATAGCTCCCTGCCATTAACAGCATAACCTTAGTTACAGTGTAACCACACACCCCCTGAAGAATTTCACAATGAGGTATAGATGAATAAACAAAGATAAAGAGGGAGAAAAGCACATACAGAGAACATAGACTCAAACTTGGTGTGTAGGCTTTTTTTTTTTTTTTTTTGCAAGCCCAGTTTGTATTACAATGAATGTCTATTTATACATGAACAAAAGAAACCCTTGCTGTTGACTTGGATACATCTCATTGTAAATTCCAGTCTGGCTGGTAAGACTAACGATTCATTCTCAAATCGCTCTTCATTATGTAAAGAAGACATGAAATTACTGAACAGAGCACTTCTGTTATCCAAAGGGGGAGATGGTAATTTGGTATTCAAGCAGTGAGCAGATCAACATTGATTTGATTGTCTAGACTTGTTCTCTTTTTTTTTTCAGGAGCCGTTTAATCACCAAGAAATGCAACTATACACAAAACTCACAAGTTAAGACTAATTTATATGAGAAAAAGATTTGTGAAATAAAAAGAAAGGCAAGGGAATACAAGACTCTTAAGTAATAATAACTTTTTCTTGTGGTACTTGGAACCTGTTTTATGACATAAAACCAATAATATCTTCTAAATAAAGATATATTCCAAATAAAGTAACTGAAAGATCTGGTTGCTGTCCTTTTGCCTCACAACCCTGACCTGACCCATATCATCATGATTTTTCATCACAGCAAGACTTCCTCTCTGACCAAAACAGACTCTTCACCATGTATTTGCCTCCTTTTCCACCTCAGTAATTCAATAAGCTTGCCAGCTATTAGGAGTAGATGATGGCTGCAGGGGGAGGAACTCTGCAGTGGTCACCTGGACTGGCGACAATCAGTCTACCAAAACAACATTACTTAGCAGAGGATGTCATCCATCAGGTCAAGTTTTCCCCAATAAACATCTTCCAACCAGAAAATAAAAAAAAACTACAAGATATAATCGTTCCGTGGGTAGGAATTTGGCGAGTGCCTGTCTTCCATTTCCTCATATTTGCATAGGTGACACATGGTAAAACAAACAAAAATGTGGTTTCTCCGAAAGCCAGCTCATTTCTATGTCTACCTAGTGTCTCTGTGTCCAGTCTCATTCTGCTGTAGTTAGTTTGCCTCTTTGTAGACCACTAAGCTCTCTAATGCCTTCTCCCATGTAGGGGTAGTATGAGCATGGCATCACTGAGCATGCATGTCAAATACAAACAAGGAGCAGTGTGTAGAATTTAGTGGGATCTAGTGGTGAAGATGCTGATTGCAACAATTTGAATATAGCTCAGTCTTCCAAGCATGTAGAAGAAACTTTAGATCCAATAGATCCTTCTAAATATGACACACCGGACCTAGAGGTGTTGTATAGAACGTTTTTATAGAAGTTAGAGAAAGAAGAAGAATTTCACACTTGCTTGCAGTGTTGTGCATTCATTCATTTAAATTCCACATTACTTTTGCCAAGATCTGGCATCTGTTTGTTTGGATGTGTGCCTGTCTTGTTGGGTAGACAGCTGGGTGTTTGTCCCATGATGAAAGTGCGCACAGAGAAAATGAGAACTGGTTAGAATGTGTGAAAGTAATGGTGAAATACAAATAAATAAATAAAATGGCAAAAAAATGTCTTGCTTGAGATTTTCTTAATACGGTTTTAAAGTATTTTATATGTTTTATTGTTAAATGAGGGGTTTTGTATAGATCAACAGGTTTAAACTCCCAGACCAAAAGTACAATAGACCAAAGTTTGAGCCACTCAGCTCCTGCTTGTCATGTCTGACCTCTTGTGGTCAGACTCACCTGGAAGCCACATGACAGACTTGCCTCCTAAAAGATAGCAGAGTTCTAGTTAGACATGAGGAGACGAAGGCGGTGATATCTACAGCACAATTCAGTCCGATAATGCAAAATCTCAACAGACTACGAGAATCGAAATCATTAGAAAGCACTATCAGACTGGGCCATCCTCTTTGCATTTAGTTTGCTGGATTATGAGAAAACCAGGATGAGGTGGGAATAATCACAGCCCTTTTTACAGGTGAAGCAGGAAATTGCCACAGGCAGGAGATCAGGGCAGGACCTCCTATCTCAAAACACAACCATGCAAAGAACTACAAAAACACTTGGCAGTGACCTGGGAATTCTGGGGAGTCTCAAATGAAAGAGTCAATGTCAACACAGGGACCCAGACAGTAATATCTAAACAACAATGGACGACATTCATCTTCCCCAGAAGTTAAACCCTCTTTTTATTAATGTTTTATGACTGAATAGCCTACTTGCAAAACTAGATGACATCCCCATTAGCCTTTATATTAAGTGCTTCTTAGCAAATGTCAGCGTGCTAACCCGCTAAAGATGATGAACATTACACCTGTCAAACATCAACACGTGAGCTGTGTCATTGTTGTGTCTTTAACTTTATAAATGCCTATATTCTCTTGTTAATGGGGTCGAAAGAGTTACATTTGACCAGTAAGTGACTACGGAAAAACTCTGCCCCTCTCATCATAACACCTGTACCTCAAACACACTGAGTTTATTTTTCTTGAAAAGTCTCAGAAAACTTAACATAGGTCTCTATGAATATACTATTAAGCAAATCTGCTTAAAGCATTAACAGCATCTTCCAAATGTAACATTGTTAATTCAACTTCCTTCTTTAATATTGAAAATATTTTCTCTCCATGCATGAACATGTAAAAGAAGTGTGCCTTCTGAGCCTTTCTCTACAGTGTATATGTATATGTGTAAATGTAAACTGATGGTACTAATGTTGCAGTGTAATATTGTCAGATGCTGTTGTATTACAATGGATGAGGTTTTCTGTGTCATTTATCATGATATAATGTAATGTTACTTTATTATGATATTCTGTTGCTCTCTCATGCATACTTTGATTGTTCAAATAGGTTATATTAGTAAAGTGTAACATGCCTGTACATACAGCCACTACCCTGACTATGATTTATCAGATGGAGATTTACAGAAAGGGACAGTACTGGGAAGAATAGACCAGTGTGTATAAAGTTTTATTTGATTGATTTCTTGTAATTCACAGTAGCTTGAAATGAAGAGCTTTTGTGCATTTGACAAGTGGTGTCTAAATAAACTACAAATCTTAACAGATTTACTTGTGTCATTTCTACCTAGAAGCTCTGTTGCAATATTAAACTCATAGCTGTAAAGCATTTCAACAACTCTTAAGTGGGTGTAACTCATACAAATGTAACATATGGTTACCAAGATGATGAACATGATAAACATTAATACCTGTTAAACATCCATGCCATTGTGAGCATGTTAGCATTCAGTTTAAATCACCCCTGTGCTTATACGTAGCTGTTTGCATTTACTTTAGTGTTGTGACAAATGATCCCCTTCTCATGAAATAAATGTTGAGATGATGTGTTGTGGATAAATTAGGCCTACGTCTTTACATCACTTTAAAAATTATATCAATATTAAAAAGGATATATGTAGGATATATAAAAACACATGTGTAAGGCAAGCTAAACTGGTGTGTGTATCTTTGACTTTATAAATGACTATTCTCTTGTTAATGGAGTCGAAAGAGTTAAATTTGACCAGGAAGTGACTACGGAGCAGGGGAGGAGCCTTTATCAGCCTCAACATGCTGAAACGAAACTGAATGAGGAGACACCCAAAGTGTGCTTTGCTTTGAGGTTTTTTGCGCAGTTGTTGGTAAAGGTTGCTACTTTACAGGTAAGATTGAGAAAGATACTATAGTTCAATTGTTCCTTTTACTTTATGTGTTTCCTGTAGTGCATACAATAGAGCAAAAAGCTACTGTTTTAACATATTCAGCCCACTGAGTTGAACTAGACAAATTGTAATATTTTTTTTACTCATTAATTTTCAGATATGGCAACTGCAAGCAGTCTGCTGTCAGAGGAGAAGTTCTTGTGTTCTGTCTGTCTGGATGTGTTCACTGATCCAGTTACAACGCCATGTGGACACAACTTCTGCAGTGCATGTATCCATAAGTATTGGGACAGCAGTGACATGTGCCAGTGTCCATTATGCAAAAGGGAATTTTCTTCAAGACCTGAACTCCAAGTCAACACTTTTATATCTGAGTTAGCTGCTGACTATAAGACATTAGTTCAAGCCAAAGCCTCACCTCCAGGCACACAACTTCCTGAAACAGCAGACGTTCCTTGTGATATCTGCTCTGAGAAAAAGGTAAATGCCGTTAAATCTTGCCTGATGTGCCTAGCGTCTTTCTGTGAAGTTCACCTTGAGCCACATCGGAGAGTTGCTGGTCTCAAGAGCCACACATTATTAGACCCTGTGAAGAATCTTGATGACAGGATGTGCAAGACACACAGCAAGATAACAGAACTTTACTGTAGGACTGACCAGGCCTGTATTTGTGTCATGTGTATCAAAACCGATCACAAGGGTCATAATGTTGTCCCGCTCGAGGAAGAATATGAAGCAGTGATGGCAAGAAAAGATGAGACAGTAGCAAATATCCAAAGGATGATCCAATCACGGTCTGAGAAGATAGCAGAAATTGAAAACTCAGTTGACGTCAGCCAGAAAGAAGCTGAGAAAGAGAAAGAAGCCAGTGTGCAGGTCTTCACTGACTTGATCCGCTCCATTCAGAGAAGCCAGGCCGAGCTTGTTGAGGTGATTGAGGAGAGGTACAGAGCAACAAAGCAAAAGGCTGAAGGTTTTCTCACACAATTGAAGATGGAGGTCGCTGAGCTTGAAAGCAGAAGCAACCAGCTGGAGCAGCTGTCACAGTCTGAGGATCACCATCATTTTCTCCAGAGCTTCCCAACCCTGTGCTCTCCTTTAGACAAGGACTGGAGCAACATTAGTGTTCAGAGTGATCTGTCTTTTGAGGGCGTCAGAGGGGCTGTGACTCTGCTGAAACAGAGAGTTAATGAAATAATGCAAAAGCTTCCTGAGATCAAAATGAAAAGAATGAGAGATCATGCAGTGGACTTGACTCTTGACCCTGACACAGCATATTGCTCACTTGTCATAAGTGAGGATGGAAAACAAGTGATAGATGGAGATACAAAACAGAGTGTTCCCTACAATCCAAAGAGATTTGACACATGTCCAGAGGTTTTGGCAAAGGAGGGATTCACAACAGGGAAGTTTTACTATGAGGTGCAAGTGAAAGGAAAGACTGCATGGGTTATTGGAGTGGTCAGAGAGTCAATTGATAGAAAGACGAACATACCTCTGGCAGTTGAAAACGGTTACTGGACCATTGAGCTTAATGAGGGTATATATATATATGCATGTGCATCACCGAGAGTTGAAATCACACTGAAAAAAAAGCTTCAGAAGGTGGGAATCTTTCTAGCCTATGAAGACGGAGTGGTTTCTTTCTATGATGTGAATTCTAAATCACATATCTATTCTTTCACCGGCTGCCACTTCACAGAGAAACTTTACCCATACTTCTGTCTTCAAGTCAATGAGAATGGAAAAAACTCTGCCCCTCTCATCATAACACCTGTACCTCAAACACACTGAGTTTATTTTTATGAAAGGTCACAGAAAACTTAACAGAGGTCTCTATGAATATACTTTCCAAATCTGCTTAAAGCATTAACAGCATCTTCCAAATGTAATATTGTTAATTCAACTTCCTTCTTTAATATTGAAAATATTTCTCTCCATACATGAACATGTAAAAGAAGTGTGCCTTCTGAGCCTTTCTCTACAGTGTATATGTATATGTGTGTAAATGTAAACTGATGGTACTAATGTTGCAGTGTAATATTGTCAGATGCTGTTGTATTACAATGGATGAGGTTTTCTGTGTCATTTATCATGATATAATGTAATGTTACTTTGTTATGATATTCTGTTGCTCTCTCATGCATACTTTGATTGTTCAAATAGGTTATATTAGTAAAGTGTAACATGCCTGTACATACAGCCACTACCCTGACTATGATTTATCAGATGGAGATTTACAGAAAGGGACAGTACTGGGAAGAATAGACCAGTGTGTATAAAGTTTTATTTCATTGATTTCTTGTAATTCACAGTATCTTGAAATTAAGAGCTTTTGTGCATTTGACAAGTGGTGTCTAAATAAACTACAAATCATGACGGATTTACTTGTGTCATTTCTACCTAGAAGCTCTGTTGCAATATTAAACTCATAGCTGTAAAGCATTTCAACAACTCTTAAGTGGGTGTAACTCATACAAATGTAACATATGGTTACCAAGATGGTGAACATGATAAACATTAATACCTGTTAAACATCCATGCCATTGTGAGCATGTTAGCATTCAGTTTAAATCACCCCTGTGCTTATACGTAGCTGTTTGCATTTACTTTAGTGTTGTGACAAATGATCCCCTTCTCATGAAATAAATGTTGAGATGATGTGTTGTGGATAAATTAGGCCTACGTCTTTACATCACTTTAAAAATTATATCAATATTAAAAAAGATATATGTAGGATATATAAAAAACACATGTGTAAGGCAAGCTAAACTGGTGTGTGTATCTTTGACTTTATAAATGACTATTCTCTTGTTAATGGAGTCGAAAGAGTTAAATTTGACCAGGAAGTGACTACGGAGCAGGGGAGGAGCCTTTATCAGCCTCAACATGCTGAAACGAAACTGAATGAGGAGACACCCAAAGTGTGCTTTGCTTTGAGGTTTTTTGCGCAGTTGTTGGTAAAAGTTGCTACTTTACAGGTAAGATTGAGAAAGATACTATAGTTCAATTGTTCCTTTTACTTTATGTGTTTCCTGTAGTGCATACAATAGAGCAAAAAGTGACTGTTTTAACATATTCAGCCCACTGAACTGAAATGGATGAATTGTAATTTTTTTTACTCATTAATTTTCAGATATGGCAACTGCAAGCAGTCTGCTGTCAGAGGAGAAGTTCTTGTGTTCTGTCTGTCTGGATGTGTTCACTGATCCAGTTACAACACCATGTGGACACAACTTCTGCAGTGCATGTATCCATAAGTATTGGGACAGCAGTGACATGTGCCAGTGTCCATTATGCAAAAGGGTATTTTCTCCAAGACCTGAACTCCTAGTTAATACTGTTATGTCTGAGTTAGCTGCTGACTATAAAACATTAGTTCAAGCCAAAGCCTCACCTCCAGGCACACAACTTCCTGAAACAGCAGACGTTCCTTGTGATATCTGCTCTGAGAAAAAGGTAAATGCCGTCAAATCTTGCCTGACGTGCCTAGCGTCTTTCTGTGAAGTGCACCTTGAGCCACATCGGAGAGTTGCTGGTCTCAAGAGCCACACATTATTAGACCCTGTGAAGAATCTTGATGACAGGATGTGCAAGACACACAGCAAGATAACAGAACTTTACTGTAGGACTGACCAGGCCTGTATTTGTGTCATGTGTTTCAAAACCGATCACAAGGGTCACAATGTTGTCCCGCTCGAGGAAGAATATGAAGCAGTGATGGCAAGAAAAGATGAGACAGTAGCAAATATCCAAAAGATGATCCAATCACGGTCTGAGAAGATAGCAGAAATTGAAAACTCAGTTGACGTCAGCCAGAAAGAAGCTGAGAAAGAGAAAGAAGCCAGTGTGCAGGTCTTCACTGACTTGATCCGCTCCATTCAGAGAAGCCAGGCCGAGCTTGTTGAGGTGATTGAGGAGAGGTACAGAGCAACAAAGCAAAAGGCTGAAGGTTTTCTCACACAACTGAAGATGGAGGTCGCTGAGCTTGAAAGCAGAAGCAACCAGCTGGAGCAGCTGTCACAGTCTGAGGATCACCATCATTTTCTCCAGAGCTTCCCAACCCTGTGCTCTCCTTTAGACAAGGACTGGAGCAACATTAGTGTTCAGAGTGATCTGTCTTTTGAGGGCGTCAGAGCGGCTGTGAATCTGCTGAAACAGAGAGTTAATGAAATAATGGAAGAGCTTCCTGAGATCAAAATGAAAAGAATGAGAGAGCATGCAGTGGACTTGACTTTTGACCCTGACACAGCATATTGCTCTCTTGTCATAAGTGAGGATGGAAAACAAGTGATATGTGGAGACACAGAACAGAGTGTTCCCTACAATCCAAAGAGATTTGAAATGTATGCAGAGGTTTTGGCAAAGGAGGGATTGACAACAGGGAAGTTTTACTATGAGGTGCAAGTGAAAGGAAAGACTGACTGGATTGTTGGAGTGGTCAGAGAGTCAATTAATAGGAAGGAGAAACTACCTCTGTCAGTTAAAAATGGCGCCTGGGTCATTGGGCTTGATGACGGTATATATGGTGCATTTGAATCAAAGAGCGTTAAATTAACACTGAAAAAAAAGCTTCAGAAGGTGGGCATCTTTGTGGCTTATGAAGGGGGAGTGGTTTCTTTCTATGATGTGAATTCTAAATCACATATCTATTCTTTCACTGGCTGCCACTTCACAGAGAAACTTTACCCATACTTCTGTCTTCAAGTCAATGAGAATGGAAAAAACTCTGCCCCTCTCATCATAACACCTGTACCTCAAACACACTGAGTTTATTTTTCTTGAAAGGTCACAGAAAACGTAACATAGGTCTCTATTAATATACTTTGCAAATCTGCTTAAAGCATTAACAGCATCTTCCAAATGTAACATTGTTAATTCAACTTCCTTCTTTAATATTGAAAATATTTTCTCTCCATGCATGAACATGTAAAAGAAGTGTGCCTTCTGAGCCTTTCTCTACAGTGTATATGTGTGATGGCCGCCCTAGCAGCCACACATTGAGGCACAAAGCGCATGGTGGTAACTCTTTCTTTGTTTGATTATATTTAGGCTTAGAACATTAGACACGATTGACAATAAATAACTGGACACAGATTTTGGATTCATAATACATAGTTTTATTATCCGGTTTTGACAGTAGTTATCTTTTTGGGTGCACACAATTAGTTAACTTTTGTTGTCAATTTTCTGTATTAGATTCATTCAGGTTATTTTTCATTGCATTAATTCATTTTTCTTTGAGTTACCAGTTCCTGGGTGCTGCTGCTGACGATGTTGCATGGCTGACAAAGGAAGTGCCGGCAGATTCAGAGACACTTAAAAGGGGTTGGGCCGATAATTGGGCTACACCATGTTGGCTGGAATCATGGGGAGAGGAAGTGATTTCTCTTTGTTTGAGTTTAGTTATTTCTGATTATTATGCTTTTTGATGTTTAGTATTTCAGTATTTCCCTTAGTTAATAATTGGCTGCATTATCTGGATATTATTGGAGGGTATTATGGTTTGTTTAAATGTTATGTTTTAGTCTATTCCCCCTGTGTGTCAGAGTGGCCTGATCAGCCACTATTTAAGTTCCCCCAATGTCTCAGTTTAGTTGGGTTGGTGTGGTGTGTTCGTTCAGTTAATGTAGCCTGAGTTAAGTTCTGTTTAGTTGACCTCTTTTATGGGCCCAGAACATTTTGTATATTTTGTAAATTGATTATTTTCACACTTTTTTTGTGAATAAAAGGATTTTTTGTGAAAATTTACCTTTGACTCCTCATGCCTGCCAGCTCGGTCCCTGACAATATGTATATGTGTAAATGTAAACTGATGGTACTAATGTTGCAGTGTAATATTGTCAGATGCTGTTGTATTACAATGGATGAGGTTTTCTGTGTCATTTATCATGATATAATGTAATGTTACTTTATTATGATATTCTGTTGCTCTCTCATGCATACTTTGATTGTTCAAATAGGTTATATTAGTAAAGTGTAACATGCCTGTACATACAGCCACTACCCTGACTATGATTTCAGATGGAGATTTACAGAAAGGGACAGTACTGGGAAGAATAGACCAGTGTGTATAAAGTTTTTATTTGATGGATTTCTTGTAATTCACAGTAGCTTGAAATGAAGAGCTTTTGTGCATTTGACAAGTGGTGTCTAAATAAACTACAAATCTTGACAGATTTACTTGTGTCATTTCTACCTAGAAGCTCTGTTGCAATATTAAACTCATAGCTGTAAAGCATTTCAACAACTCTTAAGTGGGTGTAACTCATACAAATGTAACATATGGTTACCAAGATGATGAACATGATAAACATTAATACCTGTTAAACATCCATGCCATTGTGAGCATGTTAGCATTCAGTTTAAATCACCCCTGTGCTTATACGTAGCTGTTTGCATTTACTTTAGTGTTGTGACAAATGATCCCCTTCTCATGAAATAAATGTTGAGATGATGTGTTGTGGATAAATTAGGCCTACGTCTTTACATCACTTTAAAAATTATATCAATATTAAAAAGGATATATGTAGGATATATAAAAAACACATGTGTAAGGCAAGCTAAACTGGTGTGTGTATCTTTGACTTTATAAATGACTATTCTCTTGTTAATGGAGTCGAAAGAGTTAAATTTGACCAGGAAGTGACTACGGAGCAGGGGAGGAGCCTTTATCAGCCTCAACATGCTGAAACGAAACTGAATGAGGAGACACCCAAAGTGTGCTTTGCTTTGAGGTTTTTTGCGCAGTTGTTGGTAAAAGTTGCTACTTTACAGGTAAGATTGAGAAAGATACTATAGTTCAATTGTTCCTTTTACTTTATGTGTTTCCTGTAGTGCATACAATAGAGCAAAAAGCTACTGTTTTAACATATTCAGCCCACTGAGTTGAACTAGACAAATTGTAATTCTTTTTTACTCATTAATTTTCAGATATGGCAACTGCAAGCAGTCTGCTGTCAGAGGAGAAGTTCTTGTGTTCTGTCTGTCTGGATGTGTTCACTGATCCAGTCTCAACACCATGTGGACACAACTTCTGCAGTGCATGTATCCATAAGTATTGGGACAGCAGTGACATGTGCCAGTGTCCATTATGTAAAAGGGTATTTTCTTCAAGACCTGAACTCCAAGTCAACACTTTTATATCTGAGTTAGCTGCTGACTATAAGACATTAGTTCAAGCCAAAGCCTCACCTCCAGGCACACAACTTCCTGAAACAGCAGACGTTCCTTGTGATATCTGCTCTGAGAAAAAGGTAAATGCCATTAAATCTTGCCTGATGTGCCTAGCGTCTTTCTGTGAAGTTCACCTTGAGCCACATCGGAGAGTTGCTGGTCTCAAGAGCCACACATTATTAGACCCTGTGAAGAATCTTGATGACAGGATGTGCAAGACACACAGCAAGATAACAGAACTTTACTGTAGGACTGACCAGGCCTGTATTTGTGTCATGTGTATCAAAACCGATCACAAGGGTCACAATGTTGTCCCGCTCGAGGAAGAATATGAAGCAGTGATGGCAAGAAAAGATGAGACAGTAGCAAATATCCAAAGGATGATCCAATCACGGTCTGAGAAGATAGCAGAAATTGAAAACTCAGTTGACGTCAGCCAGAAAGAAGCTGAGAAAGAGAAAGAAGCCAGTGTGCAGGTCTTCACTGACTTGATCCGCTCCATTCAGAGAAGCCAGGCCGAGCTTGTTGAGGTGATTGAGGAGAGGTACAGAGCAACAAAGCAAAAGGCTGAAGGTTTTCTCACACAATTGAAGATGGAGGTCGCTGAGCTTGAAAGCAGAAGCAACCAGCTGGAGCAGCTGTCACAGTCTGAGGATCACCATCATTTTCTCCAGAGCTTCCCAACCCTGTGCTCTCCTTTAGACAAGGACTGGAGCAACATTAGTGTTCAGAGTGATCTGTCTTTTGAGGGCGTCAGAGGGGCTGTGACTCTGCTGAAACAGAGAGTTAATGAAATAATGCAAAAGCTTCCTGAGATCAAAATGAAAAGAATGAGAGAGCATGCAGTGGACTTGACTTTTGACCCTGACACAGCATATTGCTCACTTGTCATAAGTGAGGATGGAAAACAAGTGATAGATGGAGACACAGAACAGACTGTTCCCTACAATCCAAAGAGATTTGACACATGTCCAGAGGTTTTGGCAAAGGAGGGATTCACAACAGGGAAGTTTTACTATGAGGTGCAAGTGAAAGGAAAGACTGCATGGGTTATTGGAGTGGTCAGAGAGTCAATTGATAGAAAGACGAACATACCTCTGGCAGTTGAAAACGGTTACTGGACCATTGAGCTTAATGAGGGTATATATATATATGCATGTGCATCACCGAGAGTTGAAATCACACTGAAAAAAAAGCTTCAGAAGGTGGGAATCTTTCTAGCCTATGAAGACGGAGTGGTTTCTTTCTATGATGTGAATTCTAAATCACATATCTATTCTTTCACCGGCTGCCACTTCACAGAGAAACTTTACCCATACTTCTGTCTTCAAGTCAATGAGAATGGAAAAAACTCTGCCCCTCTCATCATAACACCTGTACCTCAAACACACTGAGTTTATTTTTTATGAAAGGTCACAGAAAACTTAACAGAGGTCTCTATGAATATACTTTCCAAATCTGCTTAAAGCATTAACAGCATCTTCCAAATGTAATATTGTTAATTCAACTTCCTTCTTTAATATTGAAAATATTTCTCTCCATACATGAACATGTAAAAGAAGTGTGCCTTCTGAGCCTTTCTCTACAGTGTATATGTATATGTGTGTAAATGTAAACTGATGGTACTAATGTTGCAGTGTAATATTGTCAGATGCTGTTGTATTACAATGGATGAGGTTTTCTGTGTCATTTATCATGATATAATGTAATGTTACTTTGTTATGATATTCTGTTGCTCTCTCATGCATACTTTGATTGTTCAAATAGGTTATATTAGTAAAGTGTAACATGCCTGTACATACAGCCACTACCCTGACTATGATTTATCAGATGGAGATTTACAGAAAGGGACAGTACTGGGAAGAATAGACCAGTGTGTATAAAGTTTTATTTCATTGATTTCTTGTAATTCACAGTATCTTGAAATTAAGAGCTTTTGTGCATTTGACAAGTGGTGTCTAAATAAACTACAAATCATGACGGATTTACTTGTGTCATTTCTACCTAGAAGCTCTGTTGCAATATTAAACTCATAGCTGTAAAGCATTTCAACAACTCTTAAGTGGGTGTAACTCATACAAATGTAACATATGGTTACCAAGATGGTGAACATGATAAACATTAATACCTGTTAAACATCCATGCCATTGTGAGCATGTTAGCATTCAGTTTAAATCACCCCTGTGCTTATACGTAGCTGTTTGCATTTACTTTAGTGTTGTGACAAATGATCCCCTTCTCATGAAATAAATGTTGAGATGATGTGTTGTGGATAAATTAGGCCTACGTCTTTACATCACTTTAAAAATTATATCAATATTAAAAAGATATATGTAGGATATATAAAAAACACATGTGTAAGGCAAGCTAAACTGGTGTGTGTATCTTTGACTTTATAAATGACTATTCTCTTGTTAATGGAGTCGAAAGAGTTAAATTTGACCAGGAAGTGACTACGGAGCAGGGGAGGAGCCTTTATCAGCCTCAACATGCTGAAACGAAACTGAATGAGGAGACACCCAAAGTGTGCTTTGCTTTGAGGTTTTTTGCGCAGTTGTTGGTAAAAGTTGCTACTTTACAGGTAAGATTGAGAAAGATACTATAGTTCAATTGTTCCTTTTACTTTATGTGTTTCCTGTAGTGCATACAATAGAGCAAAAAGTGACTGTTTTAACATATTCAGCCCACTGAACTGAAATGGATGAATTGTAATTTTTTTTACTCATTAATTTTCAGATATGGCAACTGCAAGCAGTCTGCTGTCAGAGGAGAAGTTCTTGTGTTCTGTCTGTCTGGATGTGTTCACTGATCCAGTTACAACACCATGTGGACACAACTTCTGCAGTGCATGTATCCATAAGTATTGGGACAGCAGTGACATGTGCCAGTGTCCATTATGCAAAAGGGTATTTTCTCCAAGACCTGAACTCCTAGTTAATACTGTTATGTCTGAGTTAGCTGCTGACTATAAAACATTAGTTCAAGCCAAAGCCTCACCTCCAGGCACACAACTTCCTGAAACAGCAGACGTTCCTTGTGATATCTGCTCTGAGAAAAAGGTAAATGCCGTCAAATCTTGCCTGACGTGCCTAGCGTCTTTCTGTGAAGTGCACCTTGAGCCACATCGGAGAGTTGCTGGTCTCAAGAGCCACACATTATTAGACCCTGTGAAGAATCTTGATGACAGGATGTGCAAGACACACAGCAAGATAACAGAACTTTACTGTAGGACTGACCAGGCCTGTATATGTGTCATGTGTTTCAAAACCGATCACAAGGGTCACAATGTTGTCCCGCTCGAGGAAGAATATGAAGCAGTGATGGCAAGAAAAGATGAGACAGTAGCAAATATCCAAAAGATGATCCAATCACGGTCTGAGAAGATAGCAGAAATTGAAAACTCAGTTGACGTCAGCCAGAAAGAAGCTGAGAAAGAGAAAGAAGCCAGTGTGCAGGTCTTCACTGACTTGATCTGCTCCATTCAGAGAAGCCAGGCCGAGCTTGTTGAGGTGATTGAGGAGAGGTACAGAGCAACAAAGCAAAAGGCTGAAGGTTTTCTCACACAACTGAAGATGGAGGTCGCTGAGCTTGAAAGCAGAAGCAACCAGCTGGAGCAGCTGTCACAGTCTGAGGATCACCATCATTTTCTCCAGAGCTTCCCAACCCTGTGCTCTCCTTTAGACAAGGACTGGAGCAACATTAGTGTTCAGAGTGATCTGTCTTTTGAGGGCGTCAGAGGGGCTGTGACTCTGCTGAAACAGAGAGTTAATGAAATAATGGAAGAGCTTCCTGAGATCAAAATGAAAAGAATGAGAGAGCATGCAGTGGACTTGACTTTTGACCCTGACACAGCATTTTGCTCACTTGTCATAAGTGAGGATGGAAAACAAGTGATATGTGGAGACACAAAACAGAGTGTTCCCTACAATCCAAAGAGATTTGAAACATGTACAGAGGTTTTGGCAAAGGAGGGATTCACAACAGGGAAGTTTTACTATGAGGTGCAAGTGAAAGGAAAGACTGACTGGATTGTTGGAGTGGTCAGAGAGTCAATTAATAGGAAGGAGAAACTACCTCTGTCAGTTAAAAATGGCGCCTGGGTCATTGGGCTTGATGACGGTATATATGGTGCATTTGAATCAAAGAGCGTTAAATTAACACTGAAAAAAAAGCTTCAGAAGGTGGGCATCTTTGTGGCTTATGAAGGGGGAGTGGTTTCTTTCTATAATGTGAATTCTAAATCACATATGTTTTCTTTCACTGGTTACCACTTCACAGAGAAACTTTACCCATACTTTGGTCTTCAAGGCAATGAGAATGGAAAAAACTCTGCCCCTCTCATCATAACACCTGTACCTCAAACACACTGAGTTTATTTTTCTTGAAAAGTCTCAGAAAACGTAACATAGGTCTCTATTAATATACTTTGCAAATCTGCTTAAAGCATTAACAGCATCTTCCAAATGTAACATTGTTAATTCAACTTCCTTCTTTAATATTGAAAATATTTTCTCTCCATGGATGAACATGTAAAAGAAGTGTGCCTTCTGAGCCTTTCTCTACAGTGTATATGTATATGTGTGTAAATATAAACTGATGATACTAATGTTGCAGTGTAATATTGTCAGATGCTGTTGTATTACAATGGATGAGGTTTTCTGTGTCATTTATCATGATATAATGTAATGTTACTTTATTATGATAATCTGTTGCTCTCTCATGCATACTTTGATTGTTCAAATAGGTTATATTAGTGTAACATGCCTGTACATACAGCCACTACCCTGACTATGATTTATCAGATGGAGATTTACAGAAAGGGACAGTACTGGGAAGAATAGACCAGTGTCTATAAAGTTTTTATTTGATGGATTTCTTGTAATTCACAATAGTTTGGAATGAAGAGCTTCTGTGCATTTGACAAGTGGTGTCTAAATAAACTACAAATCTTGACAGATTTACTTGTGTCATTTCTACCTAGAAGCTCTGTTGCAATATTAAACTCATAGCTGTAAAGCATTTGAACAACTCTTAAGTGGGTGTAACTCATAAAATTATAACATATGGTTACCAAGATGGTGAACATGATAAGAATTAATACATGCCATTGTGAGCATGTTAACATACTGACACACCATATTTCTTACCTGTTTAGAATATTTATGCACACCATATTTCTTACTGCATACTGCATATAATGTATATATATTCATTATAACCTTTATATTTTCTATTATATCTTTATAATATTTTTATTTGATTATTCTTTATTGTATTTTTACACTTCTGCACTCTTTGCACTACATTTCCCCTGTGCTGTTGGGTCAACAAATTTCTCCCACTGGGGATCAATAAAGGAACATCTTATCTGATCTTATCTTATCTGATTTTAGCTTTTTAGCCTCAATAACTACTGTGCCTAAATAGCCTCAGAGCTGCTAACATAACTTTCTAGTCTTATTGTGACAAGCCTTTCTCATCTTCTTATAAAATAAGATGAGAATTGAGATAAAATAGTTCCCTGTGGATACATTACATCTTTACAGCTCTTCCAAGATCAATCGATATATCAAGACTATAATTTGTAGGACACGTACAAATTATCTGTGAGCTAACATTTGTTGGAGATATTTGGCAAGAATAAAACTGGTGAGTCTATCTTTAACTGTTAAAATACTAATACTCTGGTTAATGAAGTTGAAAGTCAGCAGTCAGTCTGTCACTCGGACTAGTGTTGCCTCCTCCATCACACTCTCTGGAACCACAAGGCCCCGCCCCCTACATCATTCTCTCTGCTGCATCTTTTACATTTGCTGGAAGGGAAGGAGTTCGCAGAATTTAGTTATATTTTAAATTTGACCAGGAGGTGTTTAACCACACCGCATTGCAAGAGCCCTTACCATGGTCAACATGCTGAAATGGAACTCAATGAGGAGACACGCCAGGTGTAGTTTTTGGTATCAAAAACTTAAGTTTACAGGTAAGAAAGGTAATGTATGCCAGTTCAGTTGTTCCCTTTCTTTGTGGACTATAAAGAGGGAGTGGTTTTGTTCTATGATGTGAATTCTAAATCACATATGTATTCTTTCACCGGCTTCCACTTCACAGAGAAACTTTATCCATACTTCTGCCCTCAAGACAACACTGCCCCTCTCATCATAACGTATTTACCTCAAACAAACTGAGTTTGTTCTTCTTTAAACACCACTGAACAAATGAGCACTGCTGTTTTCTTTTAATTCACAGTGGCTTGAAATGAAGAGCTTTTTTGCATTTGACAAGCAGGTTTAAATAAACTAATATCTGGATGTGTCATTTATACCTAATCTCAGTCACAATATTAAAGTAGAAAAATACAGTCCCATTTTTTTTACAAGGCATTTACACGCCTTGAATGCAACACATCTGTTATGTACACACAGAACAATATAGTGCCTGTACACATTTCACCACTATAGATATGACAGCACAAGAGCAGCCAGGAGCTGGTTCAGTGTTTTTCACAAACACTGTACCAGCTGTATGATGGCACTCAGCTATGTCTCTGTCATGTTGCCGGCTTTGTGAGGCCTGCAAGTCAATCAATAGTCGTCCGCCCACTGCTTTCACTCCTGACTCCTGCCTATGTGCTCCTGCCCCCACACCGATGTGTGTGTTTGTGTGTGTGTGTGTGTGTGTGTGTGTGTGTGTGTGTGTGTGATAGAGTGGATGCACACATTATCTTCGAGTGTGATGCGTGGGCCGATGTTCTTAAGCACCGCTGATGAAGCTCATCCATAACTGTGACTAGAACCTGGTGTGTTTCATTGTGCTTGGATTTCATTAATGGGACACAAGCCTTTTTTTCTTTAGTGACAAATGTCTTGCAATATTTTTTTCAAAGTCGGATACTACTAAATCCTTTGATACAGTATGAATTGAGTGAGCAAGTCAGTAATGAAAGAGGAACAATGGAGACATCAACAGTACACTGTAGGGCGTGGAAATCAAACCTCCTAAAGTAGACATTTCCAAGAGGAAAGCAGTATGTAGTGGGGATATAAATGTATTTAATTGTGTGAACTTAAAATTGCAGTATTTTCCTTTTTGTATTCTCACTTAGACGAGTAAATTCCTAGAAAATCATCCATCATGCCTCACACTGAAGACATCTCATTACCAGACAGATGAGGGTCAGCTGTGTAATAAGGCGGAAAACGGAAATAGAGTAATTTTAAAGGTCGGTCCTATATGAGGTTGATTGTCAGATATGAGTGAATTTGCTTTACAGTGGAAGAGAAGGGATGGAAAGAAAAACCTGAAAGAACGCCAGGAGAGGGCAGTGGATATAAGAAGACTCCTGGAAAACGTGTTAAGATGGCCAATCACGGCTCTCTCTATGGATTCAAAAAGGAGCATGTTGCACACCACAATCAGTGATGGCACAGTAGGTGTTTTGCCTTTCAGCGGCCAATGAAAAGCACCTGCTGTGACCTCACTGATTGGGATGAAGAAAGAGAGGATGTTGCAAGTTTCAGCTCATACAGAGGAGCACAGAGGGGGTCATGATACAGTTTCAACAAGTTCTCAGTACTCTACAAAGACTGTACGATTCTTTTTATTAATTCTATTTTTTTTTATTAGTGTCATCAAGGTCGTTAATGTGAAAATTGCCTCACACCAAAGCTATTTTTTAAACAAACAGGCGGCAATAACACACCATAAAAATACTGCATCCCAAATAAAAGTCGCACATTTAATTGTTCATCAAAAGGAAAAGTACTCATTATGCAGAATGGCCTCTTGCCAGTGTAATATTATTATAGAATTGGATCATTATTATTGTTGTATTAATATATATAAGTGGTACTTTAATGTTGCACTTATCACACTGCTGGGTAATCTATAACAATGCAGACAATTTATACCTGATACATGAATAGTGGAGTAAGAGGTATATTTTAGTAGAATAAAGTAGCCTAAAATGGAAATACTCAAAGTGGGCTGCATGTACTTCAAACCTGTGCTTAACTACAGTACCTATATAATTGCTTTGTCTGTGGAATTGTAAGTTATATAATAACCTAATTATAATTACGTAATTGTATATTATTTTGTTTTTCTTATCCTTATTCTGTGGAGGTGTTGCTTTGTAATTTGTTTAATTGTACTGATATTATTGCATATTGTCAATAATTTGCTCTTCAAGTTGCTGCAGCCTTCCACACGTTGTTTTCTGTAATAACAGGGCTTTGAAAGACAAACTTCCATCTTCAACTAACAATGTCACTACGGCATGAATTAAAAAATGCGTCTTAGAAGCTCATTGGTTCTTTATATGGTCCAGGATCATTCTAGAACACCAGTCCTCAGTTGTGATTGGCTGTTGAATTCTACGCCGCTAACGTTTGCCTATGTTGAAGCCGCTCACCTGTGACTGCGTTACATTCAATTTAAATCTTAATGTGTCACCGGAAATGCTCAGTAATTGGCTACTTCAATATGTAATTGTCATAACCTCTAACTGTTACTTTAATAAAGTAATACTTTCAAGGAATATTCAAGCCTACCAGATAGATGATAATACCGTGGAGTATAAAACACCTATGTTATATAAGCGAGCGGCTGAGGAGCTCATTGGTCGCCGTAGAGCTGTGTTTCAGTGTCTGTGGTAAAGTCTGGTGTGAGGAGGCATCTGCCTTTATGAAGCAGAGATTTGTTCCTGTTTTGTGACTGTTACTGCCATATTTTTTTAAACGTTTTGATCGCGTCCTGTCACCCGATGGGCTCGTGCGTAACGGCGGAGCACGTTCCCAGTTTGAACCCCCTTTAACTTTCTCTCCGGGAAACCCCTCGGGACCACGCAGAGGACTTTCCAGGGGCGCACGCGAAGCCAAGGACTGTACGACTTCCAGTCTGCAGTTTCCAAGAGAAGTAGAAGAAAGGAAGCTTTATTTTCCCCTCCTGGTGTGGGGTTTTGTTTATAGTGCGCAACGGGGTGCCTTTTTTTTGGGGGGGGTCGTGGGTGACACTTTACATTTTCTCGGATACTCTTACTCAGAGATTTCAAACATGAGCGAGCAGGTAGGGCTTCAGTGTCTTGCGCGAGGACACCTAAACGGGTCGCCCGCGTGCTGATGGACTCATTGACTCCTGCTGGGATCAAACCTGCAACCTTTTTTAGTCGGAGCCCAGTCCCCTCCAGCCAATAGACGGCTCTACCACCCCGAGTCCTCCAACTACAACAACCTGTATCACATCTACAGTATGGATTACTGTACGTTTCACCTCCTGCAAATCCATTTTACAACTTTTCCCGGGGAATGGATTTAATTTGGTTGAAACTGTAATACCCGCACGTCGCTTTTTATGACTTTCATCTTTACACGCCTTACCGCCACATATTCGTTGGTTTAGTGTTATTTTTTGACTCGTTTCTGTTAAGATTTCAGATACCTTCGTACACTTAAAAAGAGTTGTAGCCTAAATCTCGCCGGCTCTCATGGGACTGAGGCATTCGTCGCGTTGTTTGCTGCTACGGCGGAAGATGGCGGAGGCGGACAGCTCGGAGGTAGGGACCTTGTGATGTCCTGCAGCCTGTTATATAGCGGGAGCGGGACACTCTAAATGTGGTTATTTTTACGCTGACAAAACATTTGACTCGAATATTATGTTTAAATATCTGTTTCTTATCGCCATCGCAGCCACATTTAGAATGCATGTTGCACTGTGATGGCGTGCAAGCAAAGGATAAGTGCATGTCCCGGTGTGCTGCAGATGTTACGGGTGATCTTAAGTCGACCGCTGTAATTGCAATGCTAGTGATAATGCATGCAGATGGTTTGCACTCAGGTTAAATGATCAGCTTTTGGATGTATGGACGTATTGGACGTGGCTGTGCCCGCTGTCCTTGGTGCTGAAACGTAACCTGCATCTTCTGCCGGCTCTTCTCTGAGTCTGCTGTCTGTGTAACGGCAAAGATTATATGCTTTTATGAACATTTGAATGCTTTTTGAATGATTCCCTTTCGGCTTGCAGTTCATTCAAGCAGACTCAATCTGTCTCTATTAACCCTTTATTAAAATATATGCAGGTCCTTGAAATTCTACTTGCAGTTCTGTCATTTCCTTCCCTTGAAATCTTCAAACCCTCTGCTTTTTGACTTATTCTTGTCTTTAATCTATAAATCCTGATACAGCTCTCCCACTTCTCTTTCTTATCCCTCCTCACCAGCGGCAACAGCCTGTCACGTCCCCCCTCTCTCAGTCAGCCCAGCCCTCCCCACTGCCTAAACCAGTGCCTACTACCCACCATGTGCCCTGCATCCCCCATACGCCTCATGTAGCGGCCCTGGCCACCTGTCCGGGTCGAGGCAAGATTGCCAAGTTCATCAGCCCCGAGGAAATGACATCAAGGGACTACTACTTCGACTCGTATGCCCACTTTGGCATCCATGAGGTAGGCGGGCCAGGCTGACAAATGGTAGCTCAGTATTGACACCAGCTCTGTCTAACCTGATGCTGTTTTACTTGCCAAGGAGTTTCAACCCTGTTAGTCTCAGCAGGATGTGTCAAAAACTGTGGCTGATTTAACACCAACAGACTTCCATGGACAGATAGGCTTTGATTTTGGTAGTGATCCAAATCTTGTTTCTGGCATAGATGATATTTTATCCATAACTAAGAAACTATTTCATACAGACAATTGATTCCAAATAAAGTAGCAGTAGAAAAGAGAAGTCAAAGCCAAAAACAACTGCTAAAAACAACAAAACAAAGAACCAGAAGTCAATACAAGCTATGAGACCTCAGTCTTCCTGTGCTTTTAAAGACAGGTTTTAACCAACAAAGTATCCAAATGGCATCAAAAACATGGTAACACGAACAGAAAATGCCAAAATTTAACCTAATTATTTCCGGAAAGTAATAATAAATAAGTAATAATAACCCCAAAAATAATCCTCAAAAGCATCTGTCCCTTTACAAACAACAAACATTTTAAGAATGATATTTTGCAGGGAAACAGAGAGTTGCTGAATTCTCTACATTAGTGGTGAGTGTCTCTTGGCTGACAAATGGGGAGGCTTTTCCATTACCAACTGGCACTAAAGACACCAGATGCATGGTAATAGTCCATGTGCAGCGCTCCATAAATGAACACAATCTGTGTCTGTCTTTTACAGTCATCTACAGTGAACTGCTAAATAAGATTGCAGAGCTATACCCTAACTAATGACCTTGATCTGCGAAGGAGAGGCGGTGGTGGAAAAGTTTGGGGACATATAGACCTTTTTAAATGTTTATATTTAGCATGTGGGTCAGGTTTTTGTCCGCTTGCAGACAAAGAGAGTGTCCTGATTAGAGGAGTGCAAAGCAAGAAAGACGGAAAGTGGGATGTGAGAATGGGTTCAGGGAGATGGATATCAGGTGGTCCCCAAAGGCTTTGTGTTGTACTCCTGTCTATTTCAAGAAGCACTGCCACTGTCACATAGGCTTTTGGCCTAAATACGGCCTTATCTACCTCATTATACATTAAAAAAATATTTATTCACATGCTGAAGAAAATATGCAGCTGCCAGCTTTTAGCCTGATGTACACATATTTGTATTTTCCTTATGTAACATTATGTGTATTATGTATTCCTTTGAGGATTTCTATCAGGTAGTCTATACCAGTTCAGTATAGAAACTATAGTGGTGTGCATGTTATTCAAGAACAATCATTATGTGTCACAGCTGTGCACTTATAGTTTTGTCTTTAATTTAAACAGGAGATGCTGAAGGACGAGGTGCGGACGCTGACCTACCGAAACGCCATGTACCACAACAAGCATGTGTTCAAGGATAAAATCGTCCTGGATGTTGGTAGTGGCACAGGGATCCTCTCTATGTTTGCTGCCAATGCCGGCGCCAAACACGTGTATGGGGTGAGACAGATAGATACGCCCTTTGACCACAAACAAACAAACACTCCACAGTTTAAATTCTTCATTATAATGATCTAGCAGCCCCTGCTTTTGTTTAAACCTTTGTGAGAGAGAAAAGCTGCACACCCTGTCGGCGTCCAAATTAATATCATATCTGGCTCCACCGTCACATTATCTCTCATCCGTGGCCTTTCCTTCCCCCCAAATCATGTGCACACGTACCTTGCCTTTTTAAAATTCCTAGCATCTTGTCTTCAGTCCAGAAATGGGTAATCTTACACACAGAGGCAATAAGAGACATCTGGCTCCCTTTAGAGCAGGTTATACATTATGGCAGTGTCTCCCACAGTTATGTATAATCCATATACTGGATTACACTTTTGGATGAGCAAAATGATGTATTAGTTTTCATGCTGCACAGGGTCTGAGGTGAGCGATAAGGGACATTACTGTTAAAATGGATTAGCAGGGTTTGATTAAATTTGTCCTTCTGATAGTACCCCAAAGGTTAACCTGCTGTATATGGGGAGGGAGGCTAACCTATAAACAACATAGATACTGCAACAAACATTCAGCGGGGTCTTGATCAGACCTGTGGTTTTGTCTTTGTGCCCACAGATTGAATGTTCAAGTATATCTGAATATTCAGAGAAGATCATCAAGTCAAACCACCTACACAATGGTAAGTTGAAGTGGTTTTCCATTACTACTATATATCTTATGTCCATCTGTCTGAGTGCAGAACAGTGCGATGACATCTGGATTAGAAGTGGCGTGAAAAATCTGCATATTTCCATCACACCCGACAATATTAGTCACAGTTCTGATGGTTAACTGGCAGCTCGCCTATGATGTCAAACAACCATAATCTCTGCCATCAATCAGAATCCCCTCAGTGGTGATGATTACCATTGTAAAGTGCCACCCTGAACTTCACAGACGGAGGACTGGCAACAGATGGTGGGTTTCATAACCTGCACATTTTGATATTAGGGCGGATTTTTGTTTCATCTGTTATATTTACATTGCAGGCATTTTAAGCTGATGGTCTTTTACTACATCTTTAAAGTGTTTGAGTTTGAGAAAAAGCTAGTTTACAAAGAAAGCATCTGCACATTATATGCATTCATTTTTCTCGCACATTAAGTTTTTCTCTGTGTAGTAATATGAATAATTCTGCAGTATACATACATACACTATAAGCATTTTACACATTTTCCATTTTTAGGGTAGTTTATCATTTGCTTCCAGTACTTTTCTTAAAATATTAAAACATGCAGTATTTTACACAATTACAAATTAAAACGCAGTTTTTTTTACCAGATGATGCTAAACTCCCTACTGTTTTCCATCTATTTTACTTTGACGTGTTTTCTACTTAGTATCTCCATATCGTAGGTCAAAGAGGCCAGAATGGAAAACAAGACAAACCAAAGTGATGCATAAAACGGGGGGGGGGAATGTGAGGAGCGCAGTAATTATGCCGCACTAATTTACAGCAATCCCAAAGCATAAAAACAGTGTCATCTGAGAATAGAGTCATTGTTCGATTTGCATTAATGTGATGAAGATGTCATGTAGTAATTTGTTGCCTGCTGTTTTGTGGCTCTCCACTCCGCAGTCATTACCATCTTCAAGGGCAAGGTGGAGGAGGTGGAGCTGCCTGTGGAGAAGGTGGACATTATCATCTCAGAGTGGATGGGCTATTGCCTCTTCTATGAGTCCATGCTCAACACCGTCATCTTCGCCAGGGACAAGTGGCTGGTATGATGGTGCTGCTGGAGGCTTGGGGAGGGCTGGGGTTTTAGTGTGTGTGTGTGTGTGTGTGTGTGTGTGTGTAGCTGGCTGCCGGACAAATAAGGCTTTTGACACATAAACACACCAGACAGTGATGAAGTAGAGGATTTACTGTACGCTTTTGCTGCATGTGTCTGCTGCTCAGATGCTGAGGTCATGCGTGAATGATATGGCTCCTAACCTCAGTAGCTGCCTGCTGGCTTTAAACTCAGAACATGTGATCTTATATTACATGCCAGGTGTGCGAACAATAAAGGTGATGGATGGCCTTTCTGTGTGCGTGCAATGATTCATGAAACTTTTCTTGTATTCAGAAACCCGGAGGCCTGATGTTCCCTGACAGAGCAGCTCTCTACGTGGTAGCCATTGAAGACAGGCAGTACAAGGACTTCAAGATTCATTGTGAGTAATTATAGCAGATTCGTTAGCTTTTTCTCTCACTCTCTTTTTGCTAAGTCATTGCTTTCTTCTGTCTCTCTCTGTCTCCCTCTCAGCTGTGCAGTGCATAATTAATGACCACTGTGCAGATGAAGTAAAATCAAACTCAAGTTACATTTGAAATAGTATGGTTCCATTTTTTCTAATTCTTTATAAAAGCTGTAGCAAAAAGGTTTCTCAACATTAACAGATATTTTATTTAACGTGCATTAATTAATATTTTGGCCACATTAGCATTTATTTGTACTTGTGTCTCTGTCCACCTAATCAAGTCCAATGTTTACTCTCCTTTCAGGTTTGTTTTTCTCTCCACCAACTGCTGAGGGAAATATAAGCTCTTTAGCCACTAAATAGCTACTTGCTAACTTTGTTTGTCTGTCGTTTGGTGCTGAGCTGGTAGCATACACTGTGTTTGTTGGAGCTTTTAGCTGAAAACAGGTGCCTGTGTCTGATAAGAGAAGTAAGACTTATTTAAAGCATTAAAGTTGTGGACCATAAGACCAAAACAATGAGTTGGAAGATGCTAAAATGTTCCAAAGAACTGAGGGGCACTAGGGATCTAGTGGGTTCATCACTATGAGTGACCCATTTTACATTGCACACAGTCATTTGATCTATTGTTATAAAAAATATTAATTAAAGCAGCTTTAAGGCTTTACTGATAATCCCAACCCAACCCAATTGCCAGGTTGTGAAAAATCTGTTTGGCTGATGTATTACTGCGAGAAATGAGTAAGTCATAAATAAAAGGTCATGGGTTTGTCACATTTTAATGAGCCATCAGGTCCGTAGTTATTAATTTTAGTCAATAATAAAGAGTTTCTAAAAAGACAAGCAAGTTAGGCTAGGGTTTACAGCAGCCAAAGGGATTTTTACAACCTGGCAACCCAAATTATATGTACATATGGCTTGTTACTGGTATATAAAATCATAAGAAGTATGTATTAACCCATGAATAAAGCCATTGATTTGAATATAGAAACTCTGTGTAAATTATGCCTTATTAGAAAGTAGTACCAAAGGCATTTAAAGCAGTGAGGTGCCTTTATAGCTATCACAGCAGGAGTGCTGAGCTTAACATTGTGAGCCAGATCAAAGCAGTATTATTAAAAGTGCCATTCACATTTGGACTTAGACACCAAATCTGGGTTAATAACTCCTACTGAGTTTCCTTTTACTGCACAGGTGGCCCTCTCTGTTCTATTACATACATACTTTCACATAAATCCCAAAAGAATTCAGTCAACCCAAACCCTCACACTCTTATTTTTAGTTTCTGTCTGCGTTGGTGGCATATTCCACCTTCTCATCGTTCAGACTTAGTGCTTGGCCCCCTGACAAAGCAAGGTGGAGTGGAGGGACAGAGGGAATGGGGGAGGAAAAGCCTGCTTGGTGTGTTTTCAGTCCAAATTATAATAAAAAATAAAAAAAGCCTGCCAGACATGGCGGAGGAGGTGGAGGAGGCCGGAGTCTATTTTCAGGAGGGCTTGTCTTTCTCCACATCGGAGCTGGATAGACAGAAAGACAACGTGAGCACAGGACTGTTTTTCCTGGCAGGGTTAAGTGCTTTGTTTTTACTTTCTCTGCTACCTTTTTTTCATGCGGAGGGCTTGGCAGCAACAGAGAACAGAGCTTTGCAAGCGTATGAAAGTACAGAAAGTTAAAGTCCCAAAAAACACATACTGTACACCATGTATGTGTATTCATATGGGTGCTCTACTTCAGATGTTTATGTTGTGTGTACGCACAGGGTGGGAAAACGTGTACGGGTTCGACATGAGCTGCATTCGCAATGTGGCCATCAAAGAGCCTCTGGTGGACGTGGTAGATCCCAAGCAGGTGGTGACTAATGCCTGCCTCCTAAAGGTTAGTCTATGTCCTTGTGCATGATGAAGGAGTGTGACCATACCTCAAGCCTTTCATGACATGTTCTTTTATACCTTCAAAAATCTGTTTGTCAACTTTTTTCTTCTCCTATCAAATCACATGAATACCTAAAATAAGTCAGAGACAGTTATCAATCCCAAAGTCCCTGAACATTTCAAGTGTGCTGAGCCTATTTTCTAGTACATTATAGAGGTTTGTGGAGAGCTGTAATAGTCTGCGGCTCTGTTTTCATGCTTGAAGATACAACAGTGGCTTGTCTTTCATCTCTCAAATGAACAGGAGATAAGGGCATTCAGGGTTGCAGTAGCTTCTTCCTTTGTCCCCTTCAATCTCCACCATTCTTTTCATTGCTTTTCCACTTCCTTCTCTTTGCTTTTCTATTCTGAGTATCTGATATCTTCATTCCTCTTCATTTTTTTTTGTCTCATATCATTTTGTATTCTCATTTCTTACTCTACCCCTCTCACGTCTTCTTACCCTTCATCTTTTGTCACATTCTCAGATTTAAACAATGTCAGGCCTCACTAGTCTGAGTGAATAGGGAGGTTTAACTCCGTCTCTCCCTCTGTGCGACGATGATGAAATGTCACACAAGAGTAGGCATTGAGTCACCAGTGGGGATGAATTGGGTTCCCCATCCTTTTGTGTTCAAAAAGGTGATTTGTGTGTTACGTTGGAGGTCGGTTACTAGTTAGTAAGTGACATGCTGGTCTGAAAATTAATTCTCACTGGCTGTATCTCTTTCACGTGTATGTATTCAGGACTTATTCACCCCTTCCCCACTCTTAATTCAAACTGCCACTCATTCCTCACACGCTAAAATTACAAAGTCGCTCCCAGGGACTTTTTTTTTCTCTCCTCCTACAATTTGGTGTATATGATACTGGCCTCGTATCATTGGAAAGGACAGAGGTGTTAAATCACAATCTGTCATGCTGACAGCACATGGCCGAGCAATCCGTAGCCCAATAGGCCCGGGCAAGATGAACAGGTTGCAGTGTAAAATCCCCCCACACGTCCTCATAAATACAACATCATCTACATGCAAAGCAGAGACACACCTGCTCCACTCCTATTTTGGACCCACAGTGATGCCTGCCAGGTAACAAAATGTGATACTTGAATTTTGGGCCATATTCTTAAGGCGGTACTTGTTATAGACACGAGCAAATACACACACACACACACACACACACACACACACACACACACTGACACACACAGCCTCCCTCCCTTGTAGACTGGAGGGAGGACACCCACACAGCATGTGTACTGTGAGCAGGCTTCGTTTGCCAGCCGTGATTCAACCTGTGGGCTTTCACACACGTACACTCACACATGCACAATAATCATGGTGAATAATCAAGAAGGACTGACATATACATGTACTGCATGTGTGTGAGAGATGGCAAGTGGGGGTGACAACTTGTGTCTGTGCTTGTACATGTGAAGTGCTGTTTCACTGTGCTGCTTGTCACACATGACATTTCATGAATTGAAAAGCGCCGATATCTATTGAAAGCATTATCTAACAAAGAATCTTTTTGACAGGAGGTGGATATTTACACTGTGAAGCCAGAGGACCTGTCCTTCACCTCAGCCTTCTGTCTGCAGATCCAGCGCAATGATTATGTTCACGCCCTGGTCACCTATTTCAACATCGAGTTCACCAAGTGTCACAAGAAGACTGGCTTCTCCACTGGTGAGGTTGATTTTCTTACTTTCTAGAGGTGACTAGCCACACAGTAGCCAGATCTTATAAAATATTTCTGGTTGGGCCAAGAGTAAGTCAATCAATTTCAAAGCAATAACAACAGTAACAGCAAAAGAACACAACAACAGTGTTGCCAGGCACTATGACATCTACGATGTATCACAAAAATCATCAAATATGAATGGTTTTATGCAGCTCTACATAATTTATGTATCCATGAATGGTAAATTATATAACAAAAGGACATGGGTGAATTCATATAAATGATTAAAGGTGAGAGGCAGACAAAACAGCAAAATGTTCTTCTCTTGATAATTCACACGTGTTGATGATGATCAGCTTTTATTGGAACTACTTTCTACGAAAGAACTGGCACTTGGGAAAGTGTGGAAAATGGTTCAGTGAGGCAGAAATCCCAAAAACTGAGATGAGAAATATTTTTATTTATTATTTAAGTCAACCAACCCTTTAAGCTCTGGCGTCCATCATTACAATTTTGAGAATGTAAAAAAGGGAACATAAAAGCACATCAAGGGTGCAACCAGTCGATTAAGTTTTCACACTCTTGCCTGCCCTACAGCGAAATATCCAGCAATTATTCCAAAGTTCTTTTTTGAAAACTCTGAGCAGTAAAATCAATGTCCATTAAAAAAAAAAAAAGCTACTGCACCTCAGCATCTTAGCTCTCGGCTACACTCTGCTGGTGTTACGTGAGCCGACGGAATCACCAAGCACTTCTGGTAACGCGGTGTTGAGGACGCTTATTATAAAAAGGGTAGCTAAGCTGTTATGTAAGCTTATGGTAATACAGTCATGCATCCAGTGCTTACATAATGTGTAGAGGAGGTTCTATGTTTGGCTGAGTCTGTTGGGCCTGAGGCTGAGCGTCACTGAAGGACTTCTCTCCTATCAGCCTCTGTATTTCTCCCACTGAGTGAGTGAGTTTCAGCCACTTCGCTGTTACATTTCTTCCATGGTAACATGCCCAAGGGAGCTGAGTGCCCATTGAAACCAGTACATTTTGTAAATTTTAGAATTTCTCACCCTCCCTTTTACTTCTCTTGCCTCTCTTCTTCCTCTGCTTTACTCCTTTCTTCTTAAACTTCTTATCTTCTTGCCTTTTTATATCATGTTTTTTTCCCCCATTCCTTTTCCTGTTTTCCTCTTGCTCATGCACATATATACCCCCCTCCACTTCTCCTATCCTCTACCTCAGCTCCAGATGCTGCCAGCACACACTGGAAGCAGACAGTGTTTTACTTAGAGGACTACTTAACAGTCAAGAAGGGAGAGGAGATCTTTGGCAGTGTTGCTGTCCGTCCCAATGAGAAGAACGTGGTAAGACTCAACAAACTGCCGCAAAATACTCAATAGTTACGATTTAAACAGTTCGACAGCGGAAAAGTTTGACATTTTAGTGCTTATTCACCTTCAGGCGGAGAGTTAAATGAGAAGTGTCATACGTGTCCAATAAATATAAAGCTACAACCAGCAGTGGCTTAGCTTAGCTTCGTACAAAGACTGCTAGCCGGACTCCATACGAAGGTAGAAAAATCTGCCTACCAACACCCCTAAAGCTCATTAATTAACACATTGCATCTGCTTTGTTTATTCCGTACAAATGCCAAGTGTAAAAACAACCATTTGCTGTTTTACGGGGGGGGTTATGTGCCTGACTATTTATCGGCTGGCACCAGTTGCCAGGCAACCGGTAGAAATTCCATCTGACAGTGCATACACATTAACATGGAAAAACTGCTTTTTGCGTGCGGTGAGCCGAAAACTAATCAGCCTGCTCGTGTTCCTGCATTTGTTCAGAACTGTACATAACAAACTGACCTCAAAATACAGCCTTATTTGTTTGCCAAAAATATCAGCATGCAGATGCAGCTGCCAGGTTTGCCACAGAAACACTGAGTCTCTGAAACAAAGCCACTACTGCTAGCAACTGCATTGGAGCTAAGGTGACTCCATTTAGTACGCTGTAATGTGAACACGCCATAAGAAATAGTTCCGATTTTGTTACCTTTTAGACAGAGCAAGGCTAGCAGTTTCAATGCTCTTTTTCAATTCTTTAGGCTAAGCTTAGCTAACTGGCTGCTAGCGGTAGCTCCATATGAGTAATATCAATCTTCTCATCTAACTCCATGCCAGAGAGCGAAATAAGCGTGTTTCCTAAAATGTCGCACTGTTCCTTTAAGTAGTTTTGTTTGGCTATTTTAATACCAAATGGATATTTCTACAATCAGTTTCTTAATTAATAAAAATCGTTTTACTTTTTGTAGCGTGACCTGGAGTTCACCCTGGAGCTGGACTTCAAAGGACAACTTTGTGAGGCCGCCATTTCCCACGACTATAAAATGCGTTAGGAGGACCAACAACCAATCAACTACCCTCAGCCCTTCGGGACCCACTTGGAGATGAGGCGGGCAGGGGAGGGGCGCACAGGCTCTCCAACAAGCATTCCAGTTGGCCAGCGAGGGCGACCAGATGCATCTGATTGGATGCCATCATGCCAGCACCAAAGTGATGTCATCAGAATAGGTATCTATCAGCAATAGTGCCATCACCTGTACCAACCTGATCGACTCGGGCACATCGTTGAATGTAACATCCTAAACGAACTTGATTTATTTTTCTCTCACTCTCTGGAAATGTTATTTTGAGTATAAAACGAAAAGCATTTATGAGTCTTTATATTGTCCGTGCAGCTAATTGAAAAGTATTGATCTGCGTGATGTTGAGAGGGTTACAGCACAGTCATTATCCTTTTTTTCCTTCAGTTATTTAAGATTTATTACGCACTGTGTAATTGTATAGAGGGTACAGTAATCAATTGTGTTTTATTTTATTATTTATTATTTGCATGTGAAAGTTTGTTGCTTCATTGATTTCAGAAAGATGTGAAATGTAATTTATTTCTTTAATTGAGGATTATTCAGAGCAACAGTGCTTTGGTGCCAGAATAAAACAGGACGATGCCTCAGTAACAAACACAGATGCAATATGTCATGTAACACTTTGTTTTGGAGAACAGACAAACAAAGAATATGAAAAAAAGAAGAACACGATGATGAATAAAATGTTAAAGAATTACGTCTGAATTTTCTCACTATTTATTTTATTTAAACAGCTATTTTAAGGAATTCCAAATAATTTTGTTGTAGTTTTAGCTTCAACATTAAATATGACTACATTAACATATACTAGCCCAGACAACTACAGAGAAATTAAAACTGGAAAGCATTAAGTTATGAAAAAAGCTACAGTATATTTATGATTTGTCTCTTGAAAGTCATTATAATACAGAATATGTCCAAATTTTAAATCTTATAGAGAGAACTACTGTGATTTGGCAACATTTACAGAAAACGACGCAGCATTTTATTTTTTGCCTTTAGACAATCTCTTCCTCTGAACCTCATCAATTAAGTTCATTAAGACAGTAGGTTATATGCTCACGCTCCTTCCTGTCGACTTGAACATGTTGTACATTTTGGGGGGACAAAATGAAGTCATACAATTTCATTCTGTGATAAGGTCCGAGAATGATTTCATTGTTGCCTTCAAACACTGCAAATCCAATGTCCAAAAAGAACTCAGTAAATTGAGTATAAACTTCACTTGCAGCACGCTTTCTTCTTTACCGGCTGAGCGCTGAGGATGACTGTTGTGTCTCTCACCTTGTCCTCCTGATCCATTAACACTCTGAGTAAAGACAGAGAGAGATAACACTGCATGAGCAAATCAGATCAATTTCCTGAAGAGAGCTAATAAGAACAGAAGGCCATCTGCAATTTTTATCATGCATCTGATGGCAGGTGTACAGTGTCTCTGCGCGTTTCCCTTGACAGCTGTTTCTGTTTGAATCACTGCCTTGATCTTACCTGGCCAGGTGTGTCAGGGACTCCGTCACATTCTTGGCAGTGTAGGCGCTGACCTCAAAGAACATCACTTTGTTTTCCTGCGCAGGATACACACAGAAAGTCAAGAAATGAATCACACTGGGTGGCTGCGATCAGAACTGTTGGCATCTTTGTGTTTTTACTAGCATGGCCTCATTTCACATCAAAAGGATTTCAGAGCTTTTAATTAAACTCACATGGGCCAGTTGCTCAGCTTCTTTGAATGACACCTCCCTGTCTCCATCCATGTCCATTTTGTTGCCCAAAAGGAGGATGGGGATCCCTTCTCCCGCTGCTTCCTGAAAAAGAGGAGCCCGGTGATTTAGTACAGGTCATTTTTCACGGAAGACATTTTGACGTGTAACAGTAGGAATCATAAAATTAACAATGTCAGGGCTCGCTGGGGCGCTTGAATAGAGCAGGGTCATTGTTAATGATATCAGTAACAGCTGTTCTTTCCCTACTATCTTTGAAAAGATGTACTGAACTTAACTAAAAATGTTCAGCTTCTGCAAGTGATAATACAAGAAAAACCTCTAAGACTTAAAGTAATAGTGCAGTATTTTAAGAAGACTTCAAACCCGACATGGGCTCCCAGTGTTTGATAAATGCCTGTAATCTCATAATCTGTACACATGAAGAGTTGAAGAGGACTTCCTTAGGTCAACGTTCAGACCTGGACATTGGTGAGCCAGGGTTGCACGGCCTTGAAGCTCTCCTCCACCGTGACGTCGTACATCACCACCACACCGTCCGCCTTGCGAAAGAACTGCTTGGTTATGCTGCGGTACCTGTGACAAGAGTCTGACTGTCACCACATTGACCTGCTGTACACAACTACTAGTTACGAATTTAAGTGTATAAATAATTAAATATGATGAAAGTACACCTAAATGCTACCATTGTAATATTGTATTCAAAAGATATTTTGACTTTTGGCATACTACTACATAATAGTACATGAAAATACACTTGCTATTATATTTCAACTAATCAAATCATACTTTTAAATACTAATTGTACGCTGTTGTGTGTTGCTATGTAGTGCACTTACTTATTTTCAATGGTGGAATGTATTTTTACTCAAGGAACTATATATGTAACATTTTTTACATTTTAAACCTTTTAATCCACTACATTTGTCTGCCAACTTTAGTTACTAGTTATTTTTCAGATTACTATTTTGCATAGCTTTCCTGTCCAGTGAAAACATGTATTTCTAAATTTGGTGACAGAATTTTTCTGATACTGAAGGATTAAGTGTTCCTTACGTGTTGAGAAAATGATCCTTCTCCTTAAGCTAAATGAACTACTTAAAACCTCTTGGATTAGCTGAAAAAATGCATTGTCACAAAGTTGTAAACAGAGTTGTTTTTCCAAGCTCAGGATAAGCCTTTATAGAGATATAGAGTTCTCAGAGGACAGCCACGCCACAAACATGATGATCTTATGGAATAATGAAATAGAATTAGCAGTAAAACAGTAAAATGCAACATATTAATGCAGCAGTAATATTAATCCATACAAACATCATATATAAGAGTAAAACACAGACAAGGGACCATTTTACTACACAAAGGGTACTTTTACTTTTGATATTTTAAACCTACTACAAAGAGTTTTTAACTAGTTATGAGTCTCAATTTAATACTGATGCCTCTGGATGACCTATATAAGCACACCAGACCATCAGTGCCTTTTTCGACATAGTTATTCTTCATGTCTGCCACTGGGTCCGATTCTGCTTGAAATCAGTGACACAAGGCAGTGAAAACACTACCGCGTTTGTCCACAGGGGCTGCCGGAATCCACAAATATGAAAGTTCCTTGTTGCTGCTTTAAGTACATTTTGCTGGTACTAACAAACTTTTTTCTTGTAGTGGAGTATTTTCACAGTGATGTATTGATACTTAAGTAAAGGATTTGGATACTTCTTCCACTGCTGTTTATTTTGCAGTAAGTATGCTGAAGTATTAGAAGAATACTAGCCTTTAAAGTAGTACTCTGAAACACACTTGTATTTTTCTAGCAATTAAACACTAAAAATAATGATGTGCTTCAAATGTACTTACTGATATCTAAGTATACTTACTTTACTTAAGTATACTTTAAGTTTATCACAGTATACTTAGATAACTTGACTTTGGGGTGCTGTTATAATACTACAAAACTTTGTCCAACTGTCAGGATTTTTTTTATTCATACTATGTAGCAATTGGTTGACAATAACAAATAAGAATGTAATATTATCTATTATTACATGTTGAACTTGCAAATCCTAGTTGTGTTTTAGGTTATAATATCAAATAAATAGAAACTCACCTCTCTTGACCTGCTGTGTCCCAAAGCTGCATGGCTACCTGCATATTGTCCAGGGTTAGTGTCTTCACACTGTAGTCAATACCTGATCAAGAAACAACAAACATCAACATAATATACCAAGGATAAATTAATAATTCCTTAATAGAGGGTTCTTTTATTTAGTTTCAACTAACTTCAATTTGACAACATTCATTGGTTTTTTTTACAGAGCAATGAAGACAAAACAGTGGCCACTAGGGGGTCTAGCGAGGCTTAATACTGACTGTGCCTCATTTCAGAGGAGAAGTGGGGGGAACAAAGTGGAGATAACAAGGCTCGAGCGAGGGTCGGGAAAGATGAAAGCCAGGAGAAAAATTCATCAGAAGTGACATAATCTGCAGTACAATGTGTGCCAGGGCTCTCAGACAGGCAGTGTGACTTCACAAGCCTTTTCATGTGATGCTAAGTCGCCCTCCGATCTTTCTGTGTAAGCATCCACAAAAAAACACACATATATGCACGTGCCGTTCGAATTCAGCCTTTTGTACATACATAGGATGACATGTTATTACAGTGTCTCTCTTCTCACCCACAGTAGCAGTTGTGGAAGGGTGGAAACGGCCCTCACAGAAGGAGCGGAGCAGGGATGTCTTGCCTACACTCGAGTTGCCAATCAGCACAACTTTAAACAGGCGGTCTGGGACAAACAGTGCTCCTTCTTTTGCCTGCTGAAGAAGATAAAACACAGGCAATGGCAGAGAGACACAGACAGAAAAGTTCTCGGCAAGTTCTAACTTGTTTTTGCTCAGATCAAAACATATTTCAGGCTCCAAAGCCCTGGACATACTTGCTGGGTCTCCTTCCCGACAGGCTGTCCTCTTGGAGACAAAGGCGTCTTTTTCGCACGGGTAAAGCGGGATTTCCTTGCCGGAGGAGCTTCTCCCGCCACAGGGACTAGAGGGTGACTAAAGGGTGGGGTGGCAGCCATGACAACACTGGTTTCAACTTCACTCTGAGCTTCCTCTTCCTCCTCATCGTCCACTTCGTCCTCCTCCTCACTGAGCTGGTGCAGCAAAGGTTGAGGCCCTCCATGGAGCAGGTGGGCCAGGTGGTCCTCCTCGATGGAGATGACTCGACGGAGGGGCCACCCGTCCGGAGGGGCGTCCAAGCCCTCCTCTTCTACCCCGGCCTGCTGCTCAATTTCCGCTTTCCTCGCTCTCACTCTGTCTTTCCCCGTCATCCTCTTAGCGGTGGCCATCTTGCCGGGTGATTTTTTGGTCTTTGCCTTGACATCGTGCGCTTTGGGCGGAGCAGGGTTGGCGTAACCATTGGCTAATCCGTAGTTTTTCTTGGCTGCAGGGCGTTGTTGACATGCGGGGGCACTGAAGTAGGTGGTGGAGGAGGGGTTGTTGTTGGTGGTGGTGGTGGTGGTGCTGGTGGTGGGGGTGTCATCCTCACTGCAGGAGGAGGAAGCAACAAACACGATTTGAAGGTGCTCTATCGGCAAGGCCTCCAGAGACTGGTAGGACCCGTCCACCAACAGTGGGGCTCTTTAAAAAACAGAGGAGAAACAGAGGATATACTGGATCAATTCACTTGACTGGGATGAAAATCTGGAGGGCAACGCACTCAAAATGTTAATTTAGTTGATTCTAAGTGTATAGAATCAGATATCCTCTGTTTTTCCTCCTCTGACACATGATTTTCACATCACACTGAGGCTGAAATTCTTCTTTGTCACACAGGAAACACTCTGACCGAGATGATTTGTGTTAAAGAGCATTTGGAAGATAAATGAATCACCTTTTCGCCGGTTGGCTGGTGTCATCGAATATGTTGGCGAGGCCCGCTCTCTGCTTCTGCTTCTTTCTGAGTGAAGTTCGAGGCTTATTTAAACAAAAGGGGATGTATGTTTGCGTTACAGAAGTAGTTTATCAATCTGGAAATGCCATGACAGGTGCTACCTTAGATCAAAGTATACTCACTACGCCGCAGCATATGTCTCGCTCGTCTTTTAAGTGTTTGTTCATCTCCCTGGGAAAGAAACAGAAAAGAGAAATTAATGAGAAAGATGAAATCTGCTGTGGAAAAGAAGGCACTGAAGCATAAAAAGTGAGAGAGTCTTGCTTTGCAGCCAGATCTGTGAGGTTTGCCAATTAGGACTGAACCAGAAGCCAAAAGGATTAAAACCAAAACCCTCACCAAGGTTCGATATGTTCTCAAGGAATGTTCTGATCGTACCTGAGGAGGTCGAGCTGCTTCATGAGACTTTGCTTCTCTCTCTGCAGTCCCTCAGTTACTCTGTACATTTCCCTGAAAGATGACAGAGTGACACACTCTCAACACCCCTCACTTCTTTAAGGGTTTATTTTCAAGATAAAGCTTAGTTAAGGTTAGACTATGTAAGGGTTATGGCATATCTTGGGAATGAACTGTAGTAAGGAAACGCTCGTAAATGACTGAATGTTAATACAAATCACCCTTAAATATGCACAATAGGTGCAGCTACCCACATCTCTTTCTCCTGGTGGAGCCGGGCAGCCTGCTCCTGCAGCATGCCCAGCTGTTCCTGGGCCAGTGCCAGCTCCTGGCTGGTGTTCTCCAGCGCTCGGGACAGCTCGTCGTTGGTCATCTTCAGCTTGACGTTCTCCACGTGGCTCTCCTGCTTCTCGCTGCTCAGCTCGTGGCACTGGTTCTCTAACTGGAGGGAGAGGGAAATATTCACAGGAATGTAAAATGCACTAATACTGAGTGCATGTACTTACAGTATATCTACAGTGGAAAGTGATCTGTATGGCTGCTGTTTAAACCCCTCCCTACAAGGATTAATATAGTCTACACACTTTACCATAGCCACACACATTCAGTAATATTATCCATCTGCACCAAGCTATTTTTTAAATTTAAATATATAATCAAGTTATTTAACATCTAAATGTGTTTGTGATATAACTCGAGCTATGAGACGCTTTGTTCATACGCACTCACCCTTTTCTGCTTCTGGAAGAGAAGGTCCAGCTCTTTCTCCTTTGAATACAGTTGGTGCTCGAGGTCATGGCTGCGCAACTGAAGGCGCTCAGAGTCCTGCATAGCCAGAGGAAGAAGAGGTTAAAAGGTCAAGAGTTAGGCACAGGATTTGAGGTTAAAGATCCCCTCCAGACATCTTTTAAGAAAAAAAAAACTGCTTTAAATAGTTTAAAATGGTATTTCCACAAAAAGTTTGGGTAATGAAGCTCGTATTTTGGAGTGGAAGGGGAGAAAACAATGTCAGCATGCTGTAAAGAACGGACAATTATTTGTCTGACAGCTGTTATTTTGTTGTTAAAAAGGGGTTCTGCTTTTGTCGATTTCCTTTCTTTCAAGCTTCCGTACCTTCAGTAGCAATCTGTCTTTCTCGTTTTTGATCTGCGCCTCCATCTCTTCATACAAATGACGGATCTCACTGTCGTGCGTCGCAGCTTTCCTGCAAAGACGGACGGAGAGATCACAATCGCTGAGGTTAATGATGAATCGATGAAAGACGTGCAGTGTGACATGATATAATATCTAGGAAACAGGACAGCTTTGTTGTCTAGATTGAGCTTAAGGTTGCATTATTCCCTCTGTACCTGTAATTACATTTAATAATACACAGCAGCTGAGCTTCGTTTTTCAAAAGAATACTGAGTGGTATTTACATTCCCTCTGACAATTGCTAAGACCCAAACAGCCAATTAGTTAAGTCTAGAGAAATAACAAGTACCATGCAGTGCCATGGGAAAGCAACCATATGCACTAAACCACACGGATTTAAGCTGGAATTTTGCTTGTTGCTCTGCATTTTATGGGAGTAAATCAAAATATATTTACCATATACTACTATATACCTCTTAGTGCTTTTCATGTCCCCCATCAGGTATAATATCAATGGATTTAAACACCAGCAGAGGGTGGACAGACTTCAGAGCGTGCCTCCAGATTAGTGGTCATTTGACACGGATAAAAGAGGTTGTTCTATAGAGAATTACAGGTAAATCCATGCAAACACTCTCAGGCTGCAGGCCAGGCATGGGGCAGTAATATAAACACACACACACACACACACACACACACAAACCCACTGTTATGTCACTGATTCTTTAGGTAGCTAATCAGAGAGAAGACCATTAGTTTAACATGGAACATTAAGTGCAGTACTTTAAGTGTGGGAACCAATTAAGAAATGCAGCCTTTTTGACCCAGGTTCCACACTCACTGTCGCAGCAGTAAAGAAAAAAAACACATATCTTTAATACCTACGTTTCCACTTTGAGTCTCCTTCCTTCACCTCATATGTTGTTTCCCTTGCCTATACATTCCCTTCCTTCATCTTGCTTTTTTTACCTTTCAAATCCCATCTTTCACACTTAAACAGTAACAGTATGAGGCAATTTTTCGCCCATGAGTGTATGTGTGTCCTGTCCGAATACCTCTGGAGGGCACTCTCCATCTCTTTCTTGTCCTGGTGGGCCTCTTTGATCTGGTGGGTGACCCTGGCCAGGAACTCCTCAAAATTGGACAGGAGGTGAGGCTCGTCTCGCCTGAGTTGGGCCCAAAGACTGCGCACCTCGCCTGGACTGGAGAGAGGGAAAAGGAGAAGACACAAAAAGGAAGATTAGTCAAATTAAACAACATGTCAACTGTGGACTACACCTAAAAACAAACACATAAAAGGGTTCACAGTGATTACACTCACTCCTCAAACACATTACTGGCCCCCAGGCTTTCCAGCAGCATACAGAAGTGCCCCTCTTCTTCGTCTTCCACTGCTGACAGCTTGGCCTCCCATTGGCTCTGATAAAGGGCTTCCTTGGCCCTAAAGACGGGGCTGGGGACCTGATTTTCAGCCACAGAGATCCTCCGGCCGTGCAGGAACTGACCTGAGATACACCCATGCAGGGCGGCAGTGGCATTTTTTTTTAGATCAACATCTCAGTAGCATCCAAACATTAGCTTTAAAACATATCCCACATTTTTTTCTCGTGCACTTGTACAGAGGCTCTTGCAATTGATACTAAATAAATCAGGAGAGTGATATGCACTCTAAAGATAAAACTGGACCTCGAGAAATATATACTAAGACTTTGCAACTTTGGAAATAACACATTCTTCTTTAGACTCACTGAGTGAAAAGGTGAATAAATCTGTAATAAAATACATATTTGTTTGATTCAGTATTCTCTGACTTATCATCTTGTGATTTTCACTCGTAGCCAAAGTGGCTTTAAGCATTTTAAAGCCTCAAACACAAATCTGATAGCACAACAGGCATTATTTTCTGTGAAAGCGTCTTTCAAGAGTCCAAAGGTTCTACTCGATGTCATTTGCTCCAGGTTAGACTCTGTTTAAGCTTGAGATCATAGTAAGCTATATGAACCAAGCTAAAGGCTTTTGACAGCAGACACCTACTGAATCCAGAGGAGAATGCCTCCAGTGTGAGGTAACCAGTGTGGTCTGTATCCAGAGAGTCAAACACATCCTCCAGCTCCTCCGCAGACAGAGGCAGCTCTCTGTGGAGCCTCTGCCAGGAAAACATAAACACACAGACACAAGACATTTAAATGCTGTACTAACACAAGAATTATGAGCAACACGAAACACAATACAAAGTTGACTATTGATGTGGCTGGGAGGTAGATTCCATTTAACAACGGTATTATTAATATCTGAGTCAATAAATGTGGAGCTTTAAATCTGCCCTATCTGGCTTGTATTGTTCTCAAGCACAGAATAAACACTGGCACAAAGTGGCTGTTTTATGTGTCACTGTACAGAGCCTTTCTTGGAAACCCTCAACACAAACGAGCAACAAACGGCATGATGCTCACAAGGGCCCTGTCCTAATGAACTGACAACACAGCTCGGACATTGTGAGCAGGAGGAGGCTTGTGTGAGTTATTCTTGCCTGTGTTCTTCATTTCAGCCAGTGAAATGATGCGTGTGTGTGTGTGTGTGTGTGTGTGTGTGTGTGTGTGTGTGTGTGTGTGTGTGTGTGCTGAACCTATACTTGTAAACATTTCCATCAATGGTGCTACTCTGCCACTTCACCGGCTGTTCGAGTGTGTTGTGTGGGTGGAGGGCTTCTTTATTAATGGTGATATAACATGAAAAAAAAAAAAAAAAAAAAAATCTCAGAAGCAAGTGTTTCCTGCTGTCATTACAGCGCCACAGGACGCTAAATGATGCCACAGGTAAAAGCCTGTCCTCTTCAACTATTGTTCTTCTTAATGGAGGCTTAATGCATTCGCAGAGCATCCGTGCATGTTAGAAGAATATGAGATGAGTGTGTAGGAAAAACAAAAGAATGAAAATGTATTCATTAATTAGGAATTTTAACAGAAATGCCAGAAATTTTGTTTTTTCTAGCCTCTAAAATGCAAGAAATGTCCACATTTTGTGTTATTATATCATAGGTAATTGAATATCTTTGGGTTTAGAACTGTGTTCAGACAATAAAAGCAGGTTTTTCCAACAGGTTTCTCACACTGATTAATCAATAAATAAGAATAAGAAAATAATCTTGAGTTGTAGCTCTAAAATGATGTCATCAATATCTCCCCTGATATGCAATTGGCTGCAGACTTTACCAATACAACAGTAGTCCCTCCATCCCACTTGCGCCTAACATTTTAACATCACACACCCTCATATCTGTGCGGGTAATGAAGCCTTTGCCCTCCACATCGCAGGTGCGGAAGAACTCCTTGGTCTTTTCCAGCAGGGCGATTCGACCCCAGTCTGAGCCCCTCCTCCCTGGGCTCAGTCCAAAGCCGTTCACCCTGCCTTCCTCCTCCATGTCTGGGACTCTTGTCTAAAAGGGACACTCGTGCAGCGTGGTGTGTGAAGTAGCATATATTTCAGCAGCAGTCAGGAGTGGAGATCAGACATCAGTCCTCCTCGCTGGCCCTGTAGCCAAGAGCTCTGGGGCTCTTACAGTCACCATGACGACAAAGACAGGAAGTAGCGTCAGATGATGAGATCGCTGATAACATGCATACACTCAAAACTGGTCCTGTGAAAGAAATAATACAAATACAGTCTTATTAAAACATTGGGAAAGGTGACATTTTTGAGAAAACGAGTGGGAAAATGTCGTTACACAAGCCATCAGAACATTAATGCAACAGTACCACACTTGTTACAACTATACAGTACTTCCCCTTTCAAATAAGCCAGGAACAAGCAACTCACAAAGGTATGTAAACACAGTGTGAAGGATTATCTTAATACCCCGCCGTACAGAACACATGACAGCATAATGCCTATGAGACTGCAAGCGACCGTAATGTATCCCCCTCTGCACTTTTTCACAGCTGTTTCTCGCTTTCAGCAAGACTTCATAACTTGGACATGGTTCTGAATTACTGTCTTGTTTGCACTGTTAAGAGCTGGAATGAAGCCAGAGAGCAGAAAGTGAAATATGAGCGGCAGATAGATGACTTTAAAGTCAAGATGTGTCAACTAACCTCATGATACGGAAAGGTTTGGTTTATTCGTCACTGGGTTTCAGCTAAGACAAAACTAAATGTTTAAAAGCTGAAAGTTGGACATTAGATATATTTCAGTATCATCAGATTATTAAATTGAACACAAAGGAATCCCCTTTATCTACAGGCCTCAATTATGTTCCCCTCTGCAGTATAACATCAACCTGTCAAAAACTTTTACTCTAAATATTATGTAGGGTAAGAAAAGCTTTGGGTCTTTCTTTACAACAAATCCAAACCCCTCCATTCTCTCCTTCTTGGTAGTGAACTACAACTCCCTTCTTTAAATAAACCAGAAACAGGAGGAAAGCTCTTACCTTCCACAAATGATACGCACAGGAGAGTGAAGCCCTTTTTTTCCGCTCCAAGTATCAACAGAGGGGTGACCGCGCGCTGTGTTTAGGAAGTCTTGCCTCACAGATGAATGTTAGAGAAGTCATTCTGCAACCATGTGATGTCATGAGGAAGCGGCCTGAGGCTTTGCAGCCTGCGCCCTGACGCTGCTCCCCGCTCTGAGTGAGGGAGGGTTGCAGGGTGAACTCTCTTTGTGAGGGCTTATAGTATGCAAGATTTACATCACCATGGCGACAGCAGCCCCTAGACCACTAGTATATTTGTTAATGTGTCATTGACTGTTTTATTAGGAACTTAAGTGTCTGCTTTGTATTGATGTTGAATCAGCTAATTAAATGATTTTGAAGGGTTAATAAAAGAAAAATATATATTTATTTTAATTAATTAAATCATTAAACATGATGGCAATTAGCCATATCTGAGATTTGTTGGTCATTTGAAAATAACAACACTTTACAGGAAACTCACTCAACATTTATTGATTAAAAACTGTCTTACATGAGATTTTCCATCTCTTCATATCTTACAATGCCCTCTTGTGGTGTGAGATTAAAATGGGCCACAGTTTTAGATTTTCAGGGAGAACCAAATGAAAAAAGAAACCCCACAAAGAACCACTGAAAATAGTGTTTTTTGTGTGAAAGCACAATCCTGATTGTCCTCAGGTAATTGTTGATAAGAAAAAAAAAAACATACAGGCAAGTATGTGTCAAATACAGGCAAGGTCCAATCTTTTTCCCACGCAATTCTCCAGTATCAACTCTGACTTGAGAGTCATTTTCCAGTTCCTTGGATCTTTTGAAGCAAATACTCCATTTGGAGGTTCAGATTGGGCTGTCCTCTCTTGGTCTTCTTGCTCAGCATCTGAAACGTCTCCATCTTTTTCTGTTTGTACTTCTGAATGGCTTCTTCTCTTTGCTGCTTGTTCTTCATGTACTCCTGGGATTGAACCAAAACAAACGTGAAAAAGAACAAGACAACCTGTCAGCAGAAAGTCAGACTGCAACTTGATTATTTGAAGTCACAAAAAACTAAATCTGTGAGCTTATGTTTCCTGGGTTCAGGTTAACAATAAGGAGAAAAACATCACCTCTTTCTTATTTCTCTGCTTTTCTCTAGTTGACTCAAATTCCTCTTTTGTCTTCTGGTAGGATGTCTTCTTCAGCATTTTTTTCCTCATGCGGTTGCTCATTGGAAGACTGGAAGAGAATATTATAAAGGCGCTATTAATGTGTGCTTCCCAATCGGCTTAAAAAATGAACAGTAAAAGAATTAAACAAATACCAAACCACAGTATTTCAGCTTTAACTGAGAGATTTCTATCTGTAGATTGCAGACATTTAGAGTGCTCTCATAAGACCTTAAAAACTGATAAATAAAAAATGTGTTGTCATCAAGTTTTAGCGGCGGTTTCTCAAAAAAACAGCTTCATCTGGATCCATGCAAGGCTTTAAACAACTTTTTTTTCCCACATAAGCATGTTGCACTTGTACTTTAATGAAGAACTCCCATTTGCAATATTCCTTCACATGTTTTAATTTACAGTATTAGGAACTATATCACCTCATCAGAGTTTTAAGTAGTCATTTATTCTCTCTATTTCTTTAGACCACTTAAAGTCACTTACACAAATTCAGGCTAAACCACTCACCTGCTGTGAGAATAAACTGTCAGAGCTGCAAGTTTTCTTACCTTTCTTTCTCAGGGGCCGCTGTTGGTTCAGGGTTCCCAGCAGTAGAATCGGTCTGCTCAGATCCACCAGTAACTTCTGGTTCCGGCTCAGCATCTTCGCTCTGGCGTGGATGAGCTTCATTTTCATCTCTCTTTTCTCCCTTATCCTGCTCTCTCATTCTCATCATACTCCTGTTCATTCTATGGGTCCAGGCCTCGTTCTTCAGTTTCTCTGCCTCGGCCATGTACAGATGCCTGAGGTGTTCTGGGTACTCCTCCTTGTACAGCTGTTTGGACTCAGGAGTCGTCCTCTTGTTCTTCTTCTCCTTCCTCAGCAGCTTGTTGTACTCATGTTGGACTTTTTGCTTCCTCTTTAAAGCGAACCCTTGACCTGACGACAGAAGACACAGAAGGCATACAATCAAATATTAAAGTTGATACTATATTTAAACAGAGGGTTGCTTGGTGGACCACTACAGGCCGAATTTATTATTAGACCCAGATATTTTGTAAAATACATTAAAACCTATTTTAGCCTGGATGAGAGTTCGTCAAGCAGAAATACCAGCTTAAATTGAGAGATTTCTTAATGGAGTTTGGCGTCATGTTTACCTAGAGCTACAATTACATAGATAAGCTGTGCCCTATTTGTGTGTGTCTTTCTAAATACAGCTAAATTAGCCATTCATTATCTAACTACTGTTGCTTACTAACTTACGTTGACATGGCAGCTGTTAGTTGTGTATAGCAAGAACTCACCTTCTTTAACATTTCCTTCGAATACTTTGTTATCGGGGGTCCATTTCCTCTTCTTCTTCACACCCTGGAAGTTGGGTTTTGATTTTTTCCAGTTGCCATCTTTTGCCGTGAACGTCTTATTCTTCATTTTTTGATCTGTCGGTGCCATTTGAGCGAAACATTCACCGGATAAAGTGAAATGTTTACAACGCTCATGCGGGATTGAGCCAGCATGCCATTTCCTTACAGACGCGGGGTGATAACGTACGCAAGGCAGAGGTGAAAAATCGAGTACAGAGCTTTCAGTCTCGAAAAAATATATTTGAATTTATGAGTCGGTTCATTTGACTACGCGACATTTGTACATTCACTCCACTGTGGACAAGTGTATACATCAATTATATTCAACAGTAACGTATGTTTTATTTAAAAAAAAAATAAATAAGCGCCGCGTATCGCCAAATCATCACAGTGGTTTCGACTGCTAATGCCTGGGCGTACAGCAGCAGTGGACGGCTTCGTACATGCCTCACTCAGGTCCTCTGTAGAGAGCTTTTTTAAGATGTTACCCTCCTCGGACAGCCTCGCAGAAATTCAACGACGGATAGATGAAGTCAAGCGCTTTCTGTCTATCACCCTGAGCATCGCCAATGCTCACACGGTGGAGTTTTACACTCACGACGTGTGGAACCGGTTCATGGCCGTGCCACCTCAAGAGGTCCTGACAGCCGTCAGCTCGTGTAGTGACCAGCAGGGGGCGCCAGAAGCCAAAGCAAAAGGTAAATACATAGAGGGTTGGAGAAGGTTGTGCTATATCTTTTAGGGGGGGGTTCCACTTTCTAGTAAAAGCATTAAGAGTTGTAATGACCAGCTTTATGAAGGGTTGAGAAATGATTTATTAAAGGTTTCTGTATGAGGTTGTGAAATCCATATAGTACTAAGAATTTATGAATGAATCACTAACATGTATTACTGCATTACTACCAAAATGGAAAGTATAAACACAAGCCAAAGGTATGTTTTTGAATTTGGTAGCCTAACAGTAATTCATTTTCTTAGATATATTGTAAGGCATTTCTTAGAAATATATACACTTTGTGAGTCTCACATGAATTATGAAAAGAAAAGCAAAATATCGCACAAATTAGCCATGCACATGTTTTTTTTAATGTATGCCCGATTATTTCGCCTGCTCCTGTTCTTCAAGAACCTGAAGAAAACAGAACTATCCATCCATCTCTTATATTTATACTTTGATTGCTGAAAGAATGCAGCATTTAACCAAAACTATCCGAGCCACGCAAGACAATAGTTTGTTTTGGTTTTTGGGTAAACTTTTTAAGCTTTAAGTGATTTCCTTTGCAGATCTAAAGTCGTCTCAATTTGAATGAGTACTCAAAGTTGTAGTATTAAACACACACACACACAAGTAAATATAAAAACAAAAAAAAACTGTGCAACTTCACCATTATTTCTCTGTCTGTCTCCTTAAACAGAGGAATCCAGGACCATATTTGGGTTTTGCAATGACACAAACCGGCTGGTTGATACCCATGAACTGCTGCAGGCGGCCAAGGCCCACTCTATCCCTGGCCTTGGAGTCTGTATGAGCAGGGATGAGCTCCTGCAGGCCCTCAGAGAGAAAGGGGAGGACACAGGTAGGGAAGACTGGACGTTCTGAACGCATTGTTTCGTGCTGAGAGTAGGAAACCTCTCAAGAATTGTCCGTATGATGTGCTTTTTTTTTTTTTTATTGGCTTTTTTGGATTGGTCTAACTTAGGTGCTGTGCTGGAGCCAGATGAGTTTATGAACTCTAAGAAATCTCATGAGGTCCAGTGCATGTCTGAGGTGGTGGCCTGTCTGGCCCAGCGCTGTGGAGTCAAACAGGTAGAGTCACAGGAGAGACTTGATAGAACCACCAAGTTCTATCTTAGTAACACGCTTTTGGATTTGATTTTTCCCTTCCATCTTTTTTTTTGTCCCACCCAGGTGATAGATGTGGGCTCAGGGAAGGGCTACCTGAGCTCCTTCCTGTCTCTGCAGTACGGCCTCCGGGTCTACGGCATCGACTCCTCCAGCACCAACACCCACGGAGCTCAGGAGAGGAACAGGAAGCTGAAAAAATTCTCCAGGGCGTACCAGAAACACAGCAAGGCAGCTAGGGCACAGGGCGAGGCTACACATTCACCTCAGGAAGAGTTAGTCGAAATAAAGCCTGGAATGAACGGAGGCAGTGTTGCTTCATACAGTGATGGGGCAGGAGTTGTGGCGCAGGAGGAGAAGGTGCTAATCAGCTTATCAGATGTCAACCCTGCGGTGGAAAGGCACCCAGAGCCAAACTCACAAACAGAGGAGCTCTTTCTTAATGCCCTATCAGTGGACGAGATACAGACTGCATCCCCAAGAGTCCCCGCCGACCAGCTGAGTGCCGAGGAGAGAGAGAGGAGGAAGAGGGAGAACCTGGAGAGGAAAGCTCGGAACAGAACCGACGGCGCCGGCACCGTGTTTTCGCCCCTCACGTCTTACGTCACTGCGGAAACTGAGCTGCGAGAGCTCATCAACGAGCTGGAGGTGAGCAAAAATCCAAAGTCAGAAATGTTGAGAATAGATTTATGGCGTGTTAGGGCAGCCGTGGTGGTGCAGGAAAGGAGGCCAGCCGCACAGTTTAGTAGCAAAGCACGATTCCCACAGCAGCTCCTGAAATTACAAGCCTGTCACAGCGGCTGGAGTTTGCATTACTGGAGCGAAGTGCGGGGTGTTACCACGGTGCCAAACCTGCAGCCCGTCGTCATCAATAAATTTTACCATCGATCTACAACCCTCTCCCTCCCCTTCTTCTTCTTCTTCTTCTTTTTCTTCTTCTTCTTCTTCTTTTCTCTCCTTTCTCTGCATGCTTTCTCCGAATTCCAGGACGCGGTCGTGGTCGGCCTGCACACGTGTGGCGACTTGGCTCCCAGCACCCTGAGGATGTTTGTGGCTAAAGCGGAGCTGGCCGCAGTCTGCAGCGTGGGCTGCTGCTATCACCTGCTGTCTGAGGAGTTTGACCCTGCCGGACAGGGTAACCACACACACACACACACACACACACACACACACACTCCACCCAGTTTTGGGAACATGTGGTTTCCATTGTACACAGAGCTCACAGTCTATGTCTCTTATTTCTGACTCTCTCCTTCTCTTTCACTCACACACGTCCCATAATCCCACCTCAGACACCTGCAGCGTTCACTTTTTCACTCTGATCCACTCCACAAAAAAGCCTCATAAACACTTATATTCATATTTGATAGTAAACAAGTCAGATATTCCACTGAGAGTCTGGAGAGCTCAGCCAAGTCACCCTCCTGGAGTTTGAGTTGAGCTCTGTTTGAGCCATTAGACTGGATTTATGGATTTAGGATGGCCACTAAAAAATGCGATTTCTTTGACCTTTTAATTTAGCAGGGAATCATTTAAGAAGAGATTGATTCTGCAACTAGTGTGTAGTATTTTTAATCTTGGTTTAGCAGGACTGTTGTTTAGTTACCCTGGTCTTCCACCCTGAGGAGACTGCATGCCATCCTCTACAACCGTTTCACCTTGGAGCTTAATTCAGGTGCCAAAATGCAGCATAATAGACTGATATCATCCTCGTCTCATGCTCTTTCACAGCTCAGTTTATGAGGTATGAAATCGTCTACATGTGTCCACATGCTGTGACCGTAGCCTCTGCGTATCCATAAGACAGAGCCCTCGCTACAGTCAACACAATATCGCGTCATCTCTTGTTAACAGAGCGACCTCCGACCCTCTCGTCATCGGGGGGCGCTATCGAAGCTTCAGCCAAGAGCGGGAAATGATATCACGACAGATGATTGAAAACACTCCTTTCCATGCTTGTTTCTCAAAACTCCAGCTCGGATCTTTTAAAGAAATGAACAAAGGCGCGCACACACGCGTGCACTTTCTCTCCCCTGTTGGCCTTACAGTGCAGTCTGGGATGCGGGCCAGCTCCTGTGGTGGCCTACCTCACCCTAAAAAGGAGCTAAAGAGCTGAAAAGCTTCATTATGAAAGGCAGTTGTACATTTATGTGATCCGCTTATTTAGGGGTGAAGCAATTCCTTAAATGCACCATCCATGTTTGGAACCGTATGTGGGCTCTGGAGTCCAATCTCATGCTGTTTACTCACAACAACAACTGCTGTAAGATGAGTACATTCAGCCGTCTAAGGTCTGGAGCCAGCGTGTCTCCTCACCAAGTATTTTCAAGTGTGCGATCACACACATCGGAAATATTTGTCTTTGTAAATGGCAGCACATGTACGTGACCACTTCAGATGTGAACTCTGTGGCCAGCGGGAGGATGGCTGCTATAAACAGCTCTGTGTACGGCTTGTCCACTCCGAGGGCCTCTGTCAACAAGCCATGTGCCGGGCAGATGCTCACCTGACTGCTAACCTGTTAGCGTGTCCGGATCAGTTTGTGAGAGCCCCGGCCGGTCGCAGCTGCACATGTTATTACTGCTTCTTTTGACTGTATCCCTCTGGATCCACTGCGGCCTTGGCCTCAGTCGCTGACCCTTTTAGAAACGACATGAAAAGGATGGCAGGCTGTCAAGCAGTCACACTCAGTACCCTCCCACTGGGAATCTGTGTGTTTGTGTGTGCGTGCTAAGCTCTGTGTGGCGCTTATCGCTCCTCTCACAACAGCAATTCTGACTTTTTAAGGCAAAATACATCATTTATTTAATTCTTTTGTTAATAGACTTCCTTTAAAGGAAAAGATACAGAAGTACGTTTATGTACTTTTTTGCTGCGGGTTAGAGGAGAGGATTGACTCCCACTCTGGATCTTTTCTTCTAACTCAAATAAATAATAAATCAAAATTTTCCCCCCCAAAAAAGCTGATATTGGACACACAAACAGCTAGTAAATGATTTAAATAGTCATTCAAATCCAGTTCAGATTATCTAAGACAGTCACACTGACAAGAAGAGGATTCTCTGACTTGAAAATGAAAAATGAAAATATTTCCCAGTTTCTCTGGCAAATACTTAAAATTCATACCCACTGATTACGGTTGTTTAAAACTCCCCCCAATCAGTTTACCCCCTATTATCTCTGTGTGTTCCCTCGCAGAGTGTTTGTGCGGTGTGTGTGGTTTCCCTCTGAGTCAGTACCTCCGCGACTGGTCCTGGTTCTGCGGCAGAAACGCCAGGATGTCTGCGTGTTTGGTGAGTTTCGAACGACACCACGAAAAAATGTGCACAGCAGCCTCTTTCCTGCATAAACATCTTCAGACTGTAAGGGTTATTGTCAGGGATGGCTCAGTGTGTAATATAAGCATCTGTAATGAATTGGCAGTAAACAGTCTTCTTATTTACTGTAGGTTATAAGCAGGTCATGTGGATGAAGTAGTGTGTCAGGAGTTTTTTTCCAATAAATACTTAACGCTTTACCATTTTTCTACTAAAAAAACAGGCACTCGAGAGAGTTTCACTCGGCCAAGGGGTAAGTAAGGCATATACACCAATTGAAATCAATACCATAAACTAATAGTCATTACGTCACACTCATCAAAACAAATCTCTCACATGATTTCAAACCACAAAAATGGGTGTTCGCAATCACTCAAGCCTGTATTATCTTCTGCGTAGATCTCCTACATGCATTCAAACAATCAGCTCATTAATTCTGCTATTGTTCTAAGTCGGCGATTGAGTACAGTGTATTTATTTGAAACGTAGCGCTCGGGGGCTCCCGGCCAAAGCTGATACACGATACCACCAGCCATTAATATGGAATGTTTATAAATATTAATGCAATCACGGGAAGATTGATTGCTTGTTGGAACCGGCTTGATTGCTCGCTAGTCTTGCATCAGGCTTGGAAAGTGTCAGAAATATTCATCAGCGAGTCGTACACACGCCGGCTGAGTCACAAAGGAACAACAAACTTTTCATGTGAAATGTACAGTCAGTTTGCATTACGTGGAATCAAGCTATCTTTGACCTTTTTTTCTGTAGATACAGATGGAGTCCCTGTTTTACCGGGCGGTCCTTCACGTTATTCTGAGGGATCACTACAGCGCCTTTAAAAGGTAACGCACAGCAGTTTACATCTGGCAGAAATCACAGCGAGTGTAACTGGTTCAATATTTTCTCTAATTGTATATATTATTTCACAGCGTCCGCATACAGTAACACATGTGCTTCACAGGCATTTCAGTAGCAGTCTAAAGAATAAAAACTCACTTGCTGTTGTTTTTGTCTCCGAACCAGAAAAAGTTTTTGTTTCTGGTTTATTTAGGCTACAAATGAACCAAATCCTGCAAACAAACGTCACATGTACTCAGTAGTAGAGCAAGTTCTGCATGATAGACTGATAGTGGTCGACTAAGATGGGGGTGAGATATATTTTTTTTTACCATGAGAGAAGGACAGAAGCTGTTGCATGTATAAAGGTCAAGAAGGGAATATGTTAAATATGTGTACAAATACAGTTACTTAATGACTGTGGTTCACAGCCTTTTTCCATGAGGGACCCCTTTTGTATCATTGACGACCCCTGACTAAATGACAAAATGTTTGCAAATTTCATATTATATTCATTCATTGCATTACAAAAACAGTACAGAACAACTGATAAAACTGTACAATGAACCCAAAAAGTGAATGCAATACCTGCTGGAAAGTTTGATTAATGTTCTATTTGGATGAATTTTGAGCTGATTATTTCCTGATATTAACTTTTTATACAATTATCTGTCTGCATTATGTATTTTTAACGGTTATATGTACTTAACAGAATAATAATCTAAACTGTAAGGGTCACAATTTCATTTAGCTTTCTTTGCAGAAATAAATGAAATGCTAGGCTGTAGGGTTACTGGATATTCTTTTCCAGATTAAGGCTGTTGTTTTTTGTGAATTTCTGATATTTTATAGACCAAACAGTTACAAGAAAATAAACAATACATTATTGTATTAATTATTGTATATAACAATACCTTATTACCCTTAATGGACATTTTTTTTTATTTATAAAAATGAACCATTTCTGCTCGTGTAGTCCCGTGAAGCACATGACGAAAAGGCAGAATAAACTTGAGTTTGGCCTTGGTTCAGTTTGTTATGCTTTACTTTCCAAACATGAGTAACTGCTGGCCCTTGAAAGTCAAAACCTGCTGGTTTACACCCATAAAACTTTAAGTTCTGGGGGTCATTTGCGGTTGTTTTGTTGCATTCCTTATGACTGAGAATTTTCCAAATCTCTGGCGAATGATGGCCATTGCTCTCCTCTACCTAAATAAACTGAATTATATATATTATTTTACAATATAATACTGCAGATTTCAGTGAGCCCGTACCAAACATCATCAAAGACACTGATCTTTGCCTTGTCTCTCTTGCTCTGTGACCTTCAGTTTAATGACTAACATCAGATCAGGATCGAATATCCATTACTTTGCTCCAAGCAGCACCTATTCATCACTGTTTAGTCCTTTAGGAGTGTTTAACAGTTTGGTTCTGGTTGCTAGGGCGTGATAAAAAAAAAAGAAGAAAAAAAAGAGGGGGCACAACACGAGACTAAAGGAGTGAATGTTGTTTATTTCACTGGGCAGGAATGAGATGTTCAGGGACTGAGAAATGATGTATGTGTTGCGTTTGTGGTTGCTCTGCAGTGAAAAGCGAGTCGGGAACGTCTACTCTAAGGCTAAATCATTCGTGGACTACGTTCGTCGAGCTCTGCGCAGACTGGAACTGGATGAATCAAAGGTCGGGACCAGAATATTACGGTGATCGTACAAACACACCTTCCAGAGACAAACTGTGGAAAGCAAATAGCGCTGTAGGAGAAACACTCATTCATTTGGCCCCATTTGAGGCAAAGTGTTTCCTCGTTGGTGTTTATTTAAAAAATATTCCCATTCGTTTCTCGGTCCTTGAGATGCTTCCTCTCTCGGTTTAAGATATTGCCACTCACAGCTCCAGAAGACAGAGCTCTTTCCAATTTGCTTCTCCTCTACACATTCTCCTTCCATCACTCACTTTCCTCCCCCCTGTATTAATATTCAAATCCTTCATACGTCGCTCACATGCATGCCACATCACTCTCTTTCCTCCTCAGCTTTCAGACGCCGACATCCAGGATTACCATGACGCATACAGGCCGCGAATGGGCGAGATGCACGCCTTTAACATGGTAGGTCCATCTTCCCAGCCTGTACGGCATCTTCGTCTCAACTCCTCATCCTATACCTCAAGTCACAACAACCTGTTTAAACTCTGCGTAAAACATTCCTGTAAAATGAGATGTACTGTATAATGGCAATAAATTGCAGGCCATTAAGTGAGATCATTGTATTCTGTGGGGAAGTAATACAGGAATGACTGTACAGAACGGGAAGAAAACCAGCCTCTGGTTTTTAGCTGAGGCCACTAATTGTGGTGTCAACCAACATACCAATTTTCCTTCATGACATAAAGCAGTAAAATGGTTTTTGGGGATCGCCCACCAGCTACTGGGAAGACACTAGTCATGGTGGGTTTTTTAGTATGTAGTTTGAGTATTGGGAGTAGCCTAAAAGGGACAACTTACAAGAAAAGGGCAATTTTTTTCACCAGATATATGGGAAGATCCTCTCACAAAAACAAATATATATTTAAAGTGATCTTAAACAGATCTTTCTTCTCTCGTGTCATCTTCTTTGTGTAGCTGAAGGTGGCCCTGGCTCCATGTATTGAAGGTCTGATTCTCCTCGATCGCCTCTGCTACCTGAAAGAACAGGTAAAATCATCTAAGTCTTGATCAGGTATTGCAAAAATAATATGCATTCATTGTGGAGGTTTGGATCTTCCCTCATGATACTTCAGAACATATCAGCTAGACTTGAACCCCCCCCTTGGCAGAACCGTGAATACTCCAAGAGTCACACTGAATAGACATAAAGCCAGGAAGAGGTTGGGGAAGTAAACCGGCTGGGAAGCAGGAAGTGGTGTAGCAGCAAAGGTGTATGTAAAAATAAAGAGCGCAGACTTAATCTGTTTATATGGATACTGTAGTTGTTAATAGAGAGCATATGGAACATTTGACTTTAAAATAACATCCATGAAATACTGCAGGGCTTCACAGTTTCTGGGTGTGTGTGTGTGTGTGTGTGTGTGTGTGTGTGTGTGTGTGTGTGTGTGTGTGTGTGTGTGTGTGTGTGTGTGTGTGTGTGTGTGTGTGTGTGTGTGTGAAACAAGCCTTGGTATAAAAAAGATTCTGACTTAAATAAATATGACAAATATGTCAAAAACTGATTTCAAATCAGAATAAAATTCCATTGTTCACTTTAATAAAATAAAAAATATGATTGTGGTATATATTGTTTATTATTGGGGGGGTCTAGTTTAGACATAAATGTCTCATTTAGGGCTGAAACTATTATTTTTAGTGTCTATTAATCTGCATTTTCTTTGCTCAATTAATAGAAAAATTATCTGTAAAATGTCAGAAAATAGCTCCCAGAGCCCATGGTGATGGCTTTAGATTGCTGGTTTTGTCTTATCTAGGAGTTCAAAACCTAAAGATACTCTCTTTCCGATCCCAGAAGACGGAAGAAATCAAAAAACATGTACATTTTAGAAGCTGAAAGCAGTAAAAATCTAGTCATTTTTGCTTGAAAATGAATGGACAATCAAATTTGGACTAACTGAAACAGGTGCAGTCAGTGCTTTAAACCAGCAGCCCCTGTGACACACAGGGCTCACTTCTTCTCCTTTTTCAGCCGGACTCGTCTTTATAATTTACTCGTACAGCTCGCTGATTGGGATTGAATTTTGCTTCCCAGATGATGAAAGCGGAGATCCAGAAATCTCTGCAGAAATCTGGAAACCTTTTTTTTTTTTGACAATAATATTGGTGTCCGCTAAATTAAAGCCAGCCTGCAATTTAAACGTCTAATGCTCCTGCAGCCAAACAAAACATGCTAATCTTTAGCCCGAGTCACCGTGATGAGATATGTACAAGCCGAAACCTTTTGTAGTTGTGATTACATGTGTCAGATGGACTTCCTTAATAGGGTCACGTAATCAAACTACATAAAGTCAAGAGCGCTGGTCAGCTTTGAGAGATCTCCCTCGAGGAGGAGTGTGGAGGAAAAAGGAGGAGGTGATGGATGTGTGTGAATATGATCCATATGATGATAAGTGTGCCGTGGTAGGTTCAGCCTTAAAGAAGGGTTGAAACACACACACACACACACACACACACACACACACACACACACACACACACACACACACACACACACACACACACATATATCAGGTTAAGTTCTGGGCAAGAGGCTGTGATCATCCAGAAAGATACTGTAGATTTGTGCGTTTCCACAGAGGCTTCAGGCTTCTTGCTCCAGTGTCTCTGTGTGGACGTGATGTCTGCTGAAAGCTCAAAGGACCGACACGTGTGCAAAAAAAATATGCATTGATGATTGTGTGCGCAGGAATCAACTTTTTAAGCAACGAACTGAAGGGATTTTATTCCTCAAACAATAAAGGAGATCAGTGTTTTGTATGCTGTCTTTAGGGATGGTGTTGTCGGTGTTGTCGGTTGGTTCCACTGTTATGAATTAGACTCAACTCAAAAACTATTGGACGGATCGCCATGAAATTTTGTACCGATATTTGTGGTCCCCAGAGTCTGTATCCTACTGACTTTTGTGAGTTTTAGCTCCGTGGTTTTGGGTGAAATGTCTCAATAAGTAGATGGATCGTCATGACATTTTGTACAGACATTTATCGTACCCAGAGGATGATTCGTAAAAGCTGATCAACTATCTTTCTATATAGCGCCATCATCTAAAAACGTTTGTCTGATCTTTGACCAAACACCTGCCAACCGAATGACAATCCCAGTAACTTCAGCTGTACTGTACCAACTAGCAAATGTGAACAAATGCTAACACACTAAACTCAGATAGTGAACATCATACCTGCTGACATAACGTCATGTTAGCATTGCCATTGTGAGCATTTTAGCACGCTGATGTAAGCACATCGTATCCATCAGACCGTATTTATGAGAAAAAAACGTGCAATTTATAGTCTGAATGCATTTATGATCATCAATCATATCTCCTACTTGGTGGAAAGAACTACGCAGGTGTCCACAAACTGTTGCCAATATGGCTGCAGAGCCTCCACCATTGGCAGCGAGATCTAAATAAAAAAAATCAATATTAACACTGATTCAATTGATCCGTAGGCTTTCCCTTTATTCCCATTCTGCAGACATTGAGTCTAGTAAAAGTACAGCCTTACAAAGCCGCAAAATGTCCTATGACTAAACATCTAGCCATCAAGGAAGAAAAACTTGTTTTACACATGAACAAGAGACCACCTGACACAATATTTGTACAGATGTTTCTTCTCTGGGGATTCAATAGAGAAATCTTTAATAGTGACAACATCTTACAGCAGAGGATGCCAGGGTTCACAAAGCCAAACTGGGAGGAAAATCTAACTTTTTTTTTTATGTCCATGTGTTTTTTATTCAGTTCTATTGTGTCTTATTGTTTTTGGGGTGTGTCTTTGTGTCCTGCAGGAGGATTTATCCTTCTCTGCACTGGTGCAACTCTTTGATCCCCTGCTGTCACCAAGATGTTACGCTGTGGTCGGACTGAAGAGTTATGAAGACAGAATTTCAAGCCGATGAAATTATACATATGCACATGATTATAATATGCTGGTCATGATTATGCATGATTATATCAACAATCATACTTCTGGATTGATTGTATTATGTGTCTATTCTCTTCTGCTTGTTTTAATTATATATATGATTTAATCTAAATGTAGTAATTTATAAATGCAGTGTCTGTATCACTTTCAGAAACATCTCGTAACGCATCTTTTGTTTTATATATTTGACTGTTTTAATGAAAAATAAATCTTGAATATTTTTAGCGTTTAGTCCTTGACCATGTGCTCCTCGTGAAAACACATGTTCAGAACACCTGGAAAAACGGTCTGATTGGATTGTATTCTCAGTCTTTTGTCTTTATGTTTAGCGGCTCTTGAGAAAAACTGTTGTTTTTAAGGACCGGTCAGGGAGCCAGGGGCATTGTGGGATTTAGAGGGGCTTGGATCCCCTATGTTGACAGGTCTGGAAACCCCATTTCTAGGCTACCAAACCAGAGGAAGTAGGGAAAAAAGTTAGACAGGGCAAGAGGCGCCCTTGACCCCGTCTTAATCTTTACTTCTGTTTTGGTCTGTCCTCGGTCATTTAATATATCACACTCTTCTAACACAAATGTTATAGTCTTGAGTACACATGAATTATGGTAGTGAGAATGACACTAAAGCTGATAGAAAGTAGACACAAAGAGGAAGGTGGGATATGGAGCTCTAGGGGACCAAAAACATCAAATTATTTTACCATTGGATTATTTCATTTACAAATGACAATATATTTTTTGAAATACTAAAAGCGACAATTTCTTGAATTAATTTAACAGATATTTTGACATAGAGATTAGGTTCACCTTTGTGTGTAACATTTTGAGACTGGAAATTCACTCAGTTACTTTCCTTTGGCTGTCTTTTATTGGCTACTACAAGTAGATGGCGAACAGGTCAGTTCTTCCCAACTCTTCTGCAGTATGCTGGGTAATGTAGCCTGTCATGATCTCAGCAGATTCGTCTGCATCCCAGGCTAAGGGAAAATACAGAAAGATGAACTAATAGCTATTATGATTTGATTAAGAGATTGTATCCATATATAGAGTCAGCTTTAACACTTGAACTCCACATGTTGCAATTAAGAGTTCATGTTAAGCAGTAATCGAGCAAAGAAGATAGAGAAGGATCAGTAGTTGAAATACATAACCTAGCTAAAATAGATAATTAAATAAGTATAAAAGGTTGTTATATCTTAAATACAAATGAAGGATAAATGTTTAAAATAGCTAAAAGTAATTGATAAATGATTAATATGTGTTACTGATCAAAAACTCATGGATAAATGTTTAATATAGAATAGTAGTAAGGGCTTTATGGTTAAAATAGTTAAAGTAATGGATAAATGGTTGAAGCAGTTTGTTAAATTAATTAATAAACGGTTAAAATAGTTAAAGTAATGGATAAATAGTTGAAAATGTTAGTTAAAGTAAGTGTTAAATGGTTGAAACATCCTGCATCTGCCACTCCAAGCAGTAGCAGGAATGCAAACTTGACAAATCTAAACACTAACAGTTCAAATGTATAAAACAAATATTCTAACAATATCCACTTTTATATAATTAATAATAGTTTTAAATCAATTCATTTAGCACATTTGATTGAGATGAGTGGTGTCAGTGAAAGATTACTTGAGTACTTTTGACAAACAAGGTTGGAAACCACTGGTCTAGGTTATTTCCTTCATATTGAACATCAATTCGTAGTCATATCCCTGTGTGTCTCAGTACCATTGAGTCAGTATTAGTCATAGCAGCTGTGCATTTGAACAGTGTTGATTAAATCTCCATAGGAACATCCATTTTACAAAATTATAGAGACTATCTTGAACAAAACTAGCCTGAAAAGAATGCAATATGATACACTTTCCCGCTGCGCAGTACTGGTCCCACCACATCTTCCACTGCTTCAATCACAGCAGCAGCAGCAGCCTGCACATCTGTAGGCCATCCATAGGTTCCGTCAGCTTCGCCACGGTGAAACCGCATCGCAGAGCTTTATTGTCTCGGTATAGACAGATGGTGAGGCTCTCTGCTGCGTTTGGACCATGTTTGGATCCAGCACCGCATTTTGCACTGACAGCCTGCTCTAGTGGCCAAACCGGACTGACACAAGTGCAAGCAATTCAAGATGTCAACGAGGCTTGTTTTTGGGGATATAAATGTTGCTGGGTTTTGTTGTGGCCGAGTGAGTCACGTCCTGTCAACCTGTCCCGTCCTTGATGCTCGCACGCATGGTTTCTGTGCACATATGTATACATAAACACTCCCTGGCACAGTCTCTTTCATGTGCCCACATAGAAGACAAGACAAATGACACGATGAAAGACCTGCTTCCAATACGCACACAAACAAACACGCAAACTTAACTACAATTCCATGACTTTGCACTTAACGCAAGACAGGAAAAAACGGTTACAGGATGCGATGAAGGCTGGGAGACAGGAATAGTATTCCCTGCGTGGGGAATCATGCAAGGCAATCCCAACCTCAGATGACTTTTCATTGCAAGGTAGGAATGAGAGGAAGTGGTGGGGAAGTGAGGGGAGTGCGTCAAACCTTTGCTCTGATCACAGTTTCTCACGGTGGTGTTTGGATATGAATCAAGTTCCTGCCATCCTCCTTGATTTTAAAAAAAATCCTCTCAAGGTTCCTCTGACTTCACGAAACAGGAAGGGACCTACGTTTGCACTTTGTCGTCTAATGTCTACATAATTAGTTCTCAGCTGGTGAATGTTATGCTTTGGACTTTTTTGTGAATGGGGAGGGGGACTGACTTAATTAATGAACCCTGGAGAATCAAAGGGGCGAGATTTGGAAGGGAAGTGGCGGGCTTTATCGAGCGTCAACACAACTTGAAAATGAGGAAAAGGAGTGAGAGAAAGACGTGGGCTATTTGAAGTGATCATTTGTTAAATGTCAGGAAGCAAAGTGGTGGTGAAAGAAGCCATTTAAAAGTCTGTTAAAGCATCACACTCGCTCCGCTAAACCACCTTTACTTCTACATCCACTCATACACCCAAATCCTAATGTCTTCCATCTGAGCGTAATCATCATGTTGTCCTGTTTTAACTGTCCCAAGCACTAGGGTTTTTTTAGGGGGGGCTGGGCAGACAGCCATCAGAGAAAAGGGTGCCAGGAAGTAGCCCTGGCTGCCATCGTCATGCCCCTCCAGTGAGGAACAGACTACATTTCTCTGCCAGATGCCCCTGTTTGTGAGAAAGAGGGGATTTGGCTGGACGTTGAGCTGGGCACACACTGCTTGTTTTAGATTAAAATCACTGTTATCACCTCAAGTCATTGCAGATGTATTCTCTGAAGAGCCATATGGTCAAAAATGCATTTCACACCTGTCAGAGATGTATCTGCGGATGTGTAAACAGGCCCGTCGTGCCGTATAAATGTTTGACTCTGAGTCTCAAACAATGTCGCCCTCAAGAAACACTTGAAAAACTGCTGCATGCAACTGGAAACACGGTCATTGCATATTTCCAATAACAAGTCTTTTCCCTCTGATTCAAAATTTCCATTAATCTTGCCCGTCCTTTTGCAATGTTATCCAGATTAAAATCAGATTAGATAAATCTAAAACATCTGCCAAGATATAGAAAACAGTCTGAGAAAACAAGAAACACTGTAATATGTGGCTTCTAGAAAGTAGTCCTCCATTTTGACATATAATAGATGCAAATGCTTACAATAATTAAAAAAAAAAAGATTTCATATTATTTTTTGGGCCTTTATGCCTTTATATGATAGAGAGACAGCTGGAGATAGACAGGAAACGGATGACATGCAGCGAAGGGCCACAGGTTGGATTCAAACCCGGGCCGCTGCGTATATGGGTTGCCAGCTCTACCAACTGAGCTAACCGGGCGCCCTCTACTTAAATTTAATATCCTTCAGTGAACTGTGATTTCAGGAATATTGATGTTCCTATAATAATTTCATACTGTAAAATACATTTAGTGTATAGTATTTACATCATGGTGGCACAAACTGCTATGTTTAATGGATGTGACAGAAGGAAACTGAAGTGGAACAGTTTTATCTGTCATGTAGAATAAACCGCTCTGTATCTGTACCTTCCTTTACTGTCATTGGGTTAAAGGCTTTCCTGGAGTAAGAAAATGCTTTGATTTGTATAAATTGTGTTTATTTTACAGTAGGCGTTGTGCTCTAAAAGCATATAGCATCAGTAGAAAACCCCCAAAAGTAAGGTTGAGCATGCATCCTCCTTTTTATTCCAGCAGCACTCATCAACTCGTCAAATTTATTGTACCCAGTAATGGGCGGCAAGTAAAGGCCGTAATGAGCTGCTGAATTTTATGATTATGATATGTTGTTTTATTCAATCTCTTTTGGTTTGATTTTCACAATCTGTGTTTTCTTTTCTTTTCTGGAACAATATCCGCTGACCCCTTTCACCAGTATTTAAGTAATTTTATATCATAAGTGTGCTTTAACAGTAAGCGTAAAATAACAAACAGTCATTAACTTATGCATCTCAATTCAGCGTCAAATCCAAGCCATCATCAAACCTCATCTTCCTGAGCAGAATGAGGAGGTGACACCCTTGCGGATGTTCCACAAACCAGGGTGGATTTGATTTGGTGCTTGATATCTCCTGATTTTTTTGGGTTGCTGGGCTTTGTTGATATTAATACCATGAGTGTGCTATTTCTGTGAGGGCAGGGCCCGGGCCCGGTCCCTCCAGCTGTGATTATCTGTTTCCTGTGTGATGTTTATCTGCTGGGGTGAAGAAGCAGTGGTTCCGGAGTAAAAAGCATGGGGAAATTACCATTACTCGCTTCGTGTGGCTTAAAGGGGGAGCGGAAATCACTCAATAAAAGCGGCAATGGGAATAGACTTTGTTGGAAAATATTTTCCTGTTGGTCAGTTTTGCCTTTTGTCTCTTGAACTGGACATAAAAAAGACATTAAAAAGTCGTATTACACCATAGTTCTGCATGGTAACCCATGCACAATGATGCTAAAAGGAAGAGTTTTGACATTTTGGGAACTACGCTTATTCGCCCAAACAGAAGTCAATGTTGAAAATGTTTCCATTTTAGTGAAAAATTCCTGCACAGACCTTTATAATTCTGCTTTATAAACAAACAAAGATTTGACATGAAAAAGGAAAATAATAGAAACTACCAGATTTTCCTGTGAGTTCTGACAGAGATGCTATAGTTCCTACAGGGAACGCACATTTGGGACATT